TGCTGAGTTTGTAAGCTGTGTGAGATGGCCAGAGAACCATCCTTTGGCCCACACTTCATTACATTGAAAGGAAATTTAAAGAGGTGGTATAAGAACAGCTGTTGAAATGGTTTCCTCCAGTATTAATTGCAAACTTAGTAAAGAAAGGAAACTGGAAGATGTGGAGGTTGTGCAGGATTATTGCTTGTTTCCCTTTTTGAACATAAACTACTGGAGGCCATTGTTCACCTCCTTGCTGCTCTGCAGGACACAGCCCATAAATTACACGTGGGAACAAAGTGGTTGGCAGGAGTAGAAATGGATGCCTGGCTTTCCAATAGACTTCTCTGCCTTCAAGCAAACAAAACGGACTGTCTGGCTCAAACCAGCTCAGAGCACACATTCTGTTATGGAAGGCTTTTGGCGCCACAAAGAAAGGGCATTTTTGCTGTGCCATGCAAACCGTTAGTGGAGAAAATAAAATCTAGGCACAGAGAAAAACAACAAAAGAAGCATCAATCTGGGCTCATTTGCAGATGTGAACAAACCTAATATAGGAAGCAGGCCAGACACTCATGAAATTGGCAAGCAGTGCCATGGCAGTGTAATCTAGTGAGAGTTACTTGCACAAAACTACCCTCTTCCCATATGCTAAGCCTATATTTTAGGACAGCCACATTTGCCAAAAAGGAGGAACAGCACCACCAAAAAAAGAGGGTGAAAGAGAACACAGATTTGCATAGAATTTGCATATTATATGTATAGATGCTGATTTAGAATAAATGCTGTCATTTAGATGGAACTACAATACATCTTCTCACCATATTGAGAAAGATTTTTGACTAGTTGACTGTGTACCTCCTGTCAAGGTGCGAACTCTTGTTGAGTAACATCAATCTTCTTACTGGCCTTTATTTTTAAACTGAACTTGGACCAAGCAAACCTTCAAATGAGGGCAGATGTCCATCCTAGTATATCGACACTGCGTATTTCAAGTGCTTCTTTGTGTTCATGTTTTATTATTTTCACCAACATGATGAAGTTTTACATAGATATAAATCTAAACAAATTTGAAATAAAAAACATTCAAAATCTCAGGAATCAATAAAAATGGATGCCAGCTAGAAGCTACTGGACAAAATTTATTATCAAAACAATCGCATTCTTTATTTTCTAGGGAGTTATAAACATTTATATGTTCTGGCCCTTGATGGGGAGGGGGGAATGAAGTCATATCTGGTACAATCATTATTAATGCATCCTTTTTAATCACAGTAAAATTCTTAGATACATAGGTCCTGAAAGGTGATCTTTGGAAACAAAAACAAAATCCCACCTTGTATCCTCCCCCCCCCTTTTTGTAATTGTTATGTACTGGAAATCAATAAAACTGTATACATGTATTTACATTTACATTTTAGATTTATTGAATTTACATACTGCCCTATACCTGGAGATATCAGGGCGGTTCACAGAACAAAACTATATGTAAAAAAACCTACATGTAGTTTTTAAAAAGTGATATTTGGGTACCTTTTAAACCTGCATGCATATAGGCAGTCCAATTGTCAACAACCTGATGAATGCTAGGTCAGTTCCCTCTCAAGTTTGACATGTTCCGTGCAAGAGAGTCAAGCTAAGTGCAGACAGGACTTTGAGTTTCTAATAACTAGAGTGCATTTCTTCTTTCAGTTATTATTTGCCTAGAATTTATACCAGGACTGGATTTTTACACCATAGCTTACAAATTCCAGGTTTATCAAGATCATTGTGCTGAGGAAGCTGTTCATGCACAGCACTTGGATGCTTCCCCTGCATATAAAAGGTAAAGGGACCCCTGACAATTAGGTCCAGTCGTGGACGACTCTGGAGTTGCGGTGCTCATCTCGCTTTACTGGCCGAGGGAGCCGGCGTACAGCTTCCGGGTCATGTGGCCAGCATGACTAAGCCACTTCTGGCGAACCAGAGCAGCACACAGAAACGCCATTTACCTTCCCACCGGAGTGGTACCTATTTATCTACTTGCACTTTGACATGCTTTCAAACTGCTAGGTTGGCAGGAGCAGGGACCGAGCAACAGGAGCTCACCCCGTCGCGGGGATTTGAACCGCCGACCTTCTGATCAGCAAGTCCTAGGCTCTGTGGTTTAACCCACAGCACCACCCACGTATATTGTGCATATATAGTGAGAGGTAAATTTTAGGTCTGGGGGCAAATTTTATTATTGTTATTTATTCAACTTATACACCTATACCTGGAGGTCTTGATTTTAACTGAGAAAACAGCTCAAATAAGCTTTATATGTGTCAGGTTCTTCTGCAGCTTTATTTTTTAAAATTTAAACACCCCAAAACATGGGCTATGTGATCACAGATCTTTCACATTGTGTTTACTTTTGCCTTGATAGGAACTCACATCTGAACTCGCCTTGAACCTTCAAATGATTTCAAGGATAATACGGTCCCAACTCCTGTCCTTAGCCTATGTCAATAGTAATTGAAGAAGTACAGAAATTCTGATTTATGCTGTCTGGATCAATTGTTCTCAGCTTGAGGGTAGCTTCAGACATGATGAAAAATTAGGCTAGAGGATGCATGAGTAACTAACGTTTCCTCTTTTGAGGGGCGGGGCTCTTTTAGGTGTAACGACTGTGGTGGATTATGGCACATACCTACCTAAATAAATATATGTGGCTGTGTACACACTAGCCAGGTTTGTAACACCATTTATTTCATTTCATTTTTATTTTTGCTGAGTCTGGAATTGCTTATGCTTGTCCTCAACATGTTGCTTTCAATCTAGATTGATGTTAGATTGTGCCATCTACAAGGGTAGCTGTGGTTACTTGGTGTGCGTTTGAAACCTGCCCCTTGATTGGATGATCCATGCCTTTTCGTCTCTGCACACATCCTGGGTGAATGAAGGCAGCAATCTTGGTATCCGCCCACCCACAACGTTGTTGCAGTCTGAACCCACATACCTGTCCAAGCACTCATATACACACTGCTGAGAGGTTTAGGATCTTTGGCTGGAGTTATGAATATGCGGTAACCCTAAACCTTATGCCAAAAGAACTTCTCACACCAAAGGAATAAAAAAAGCTTGGCTTATTATATGAAATACAAGAGACAGAATATAGAAATGCTTCTTCAGACTGCACAATTACAATTTAAGGAGGCAGCAACTCCTACAACACACACATACACACACCCTTGATCTGAAGGGTGAAAGATTCCCTATGCTGAAGAGCCTACAGAAATGTGGGTGTGGCAATTTTGCCAGCAGGGCCCACGCTAAGAGCAAGCCATGAGAAGGAAGAATATATCTGTCCTTAAAGTGAAGCAGGTGTGTGTGCTGTTACCTTGGAGCTAGGATTGTTAGCTAACTACTGGGAATGCTGGGGTTCGTAGCTCATGCCTCCAAGGGGGAAGGTAGGGGCTTTGAGATGATCAATTGCTACCTCCCCCCCCCCATTTCCTGCCTGTTTCTCACCTTGGTCATCCTAGTGAGAAATGGCTAAAAACTGTCTGCTATCCTGTTTGCTTCTCACTCTCTGTGTTTTGCTTAACAAAAGGGCGGAAGAAGTGTGTTAGCAAGCAGTTAACTGAACCCGGCCATCTCTTTGTCTGCCTCCTGTACCACCATTAGCTTGAAGGTCTTGTCAGGAGTTTGAACTGCTAGCAACTGGATTTGCATGTATTGACCTTCTCAAGGTGTGAAGTGTTTCCAGAGAGGAGTCCAGTACCAGGTTTGTACCAAGTCAGGATGGAGAACCTCAAGTCATGTTTAAGTTATGTCAATCTTATTCTTATGCCATGATCTACAGAGATAAACCATGTTGTAAGTTCAGATTCACACACTTCTGTTCACAATTTTATTGGGCAGGTGTGGATACAGCCCCAGCACCCCCAATGGAATGTTTTCAAATGGACACACTGTAGGGTAATGCAAACTCAATGCAATGCAGTCAGCTTTTAATTTCAGAATGAAGCTAGTTGCTCAAGAAGCCTTTTCAGAGAGTCTAGATCAGGCAATCCCAAACTTGGCCCTCCAGCTGTTTTGGGACTACAACTCCCATCATCCCTAGCTAACAGAACCAGTGGTCAGGGATGATGGGAACTGTAGTCTCAAAACAGCTGGAAGGCCAAGTTTGGGGATGCCTGGTCTAGATTGTGTGTGAACCACATGGGGGAGGTTACTCAGTATCCATTGATTCTAGAATAACATGTGTGAGAGGTACCCAATTCTGGAGCTTGCACATTTCACCATGGGTTTGATGCGCAGATGTTCACTTTGGATTTTAGCCTCCACAGAGCCCAAAAGTAGAAATGATGGAAAAGTGGCCTCCCTCTCCCCTTGCTCACTTCTGTGAAATGTGCAAGCAGCTCTTAGCAGAACATTAAAAATAAAATAGAATTATATGCTCTTATGTCTTCTGCGGAAGTGACTGGATCGGGATTACTGGCAAACCTACAGAGAAATGTCGTTCTTTGTTTTAACTCTCTACCTTGTTCTGTCCATTCACAAGGAAAAATATATATATTAAAACGGACGTACTTCTAAAGCCTCAGTTATTCCGGATCTTTTGTATAGACTTTGGGTCTTTGAGGGCAGCTTCTCTCCTCCTTGCTAAGCATGAAGAATTGCAGACAATTCCCAGCACAGCTGCTCCAGTAAGGCTTCCCTGTGATGAGTAAAAGACATTTGGAGCCTCCACTAATTGCTGCTGGTAACTGCTTACTCATAAGTAGTAGCCTTCTCCCCTCCCCTTTTTTGCCTAGTCACTTTTGTTTCAAGATGGGTGTGACTTTTGATTCCGCTCCCCTCCCTGTTGTGTCACTCCTTCAGTTACTTTGAATTGGAATAAAAACTGCAGCAAACTTCCGACGCTGCCTCTCGGTGCAGACTTAACAAGACCTGGGACCTTTTTTCTCCTTCCTTTTGCTTCCTGCCCCTCCTTTGTGCAGGCAGGGAGAGCGGAGCTCCTTGACTTTTACACATTAACTCGAAGAGAGGAAACAATGGCCAAGGTCTGGTTGGGTGCAGCTGTTGGATTTTACTTGTTGCAGCTTTCTTTAGCCCGGATAGGTAAGTGGCTTATGAATGAAATCCCTTATACTAGCCGATGAGCGTACGAGATACTTCGGAGAGCAAAAACTTCCTCCGGCTTGCCAGCTGGACTGTTCAACTTCATTGACATTTTACCGTGCGTTTCCCGCGTGACGAAGACACTGAAAGGGAACCTGTGAAATTTTTCATTGCAAGAGGGATGCATGGGTGTGTTTTGTGTGGAGGCAGGATAGAGAAGTATAGAAGGTTCTTTTAGCTTGAAACACGGAGGTTTAAAGCTAACAATGTTCGCTGGACAGAGAAATGAGCTTCTGCACATCTGGTCCACATTCAGGCTTGCAAACCACAGTTATGTATTTATTTTTGCTCCGTTCCTTCTGTGAAGTAGACATCGGAGGGAGGGAGGGGAAGGAAACCTTACAATAGCTGTATTCTTGAGCTTGCAGGAGAAGCAAGATGCAGAAGCCATAACGACTTCTCTTCTCCATGCTGGGAATGAAATTTGGAGAGTTTTCAGGGCAGAAAGTGAAAAGTGCTCGCTGGCTTTCAGAACTTTAATTTGAGCATGACTAGTGAGGAGGTTTAGAAGCAAACTTGAAGCCAGTCTGGCAGGAATGGGCAGCTCATTTCCCTCCTTGCCCCCCAGCTAGCTTTCCGAAGTCTGCCTGTGAATAATAAAACGAAATGCTTGTTTGGCAATGAAAGTGCTCATGCATTTAAGAAAATCACATGTCCCGAATGACAAAATAAGTCTTTAAAAGTTTGATGTGATACAGAACCACAAGTATTTGCGAAGAAATAACTGTGCCTTCAACAGAGACCCATTGTAATAGAAATTGCCTTGAGCTGTTTTGAAGGGAGTCTATTATCCTTATCCACCCCCTCCCCCAGATCATTGGAAGCTTACAAAATACTTTTTAAAAAAGGGGCATTGGCGCCTTAGTGTTTTAAATACTTATTTGAGCATAAAGAAGTAAATTGGATAATAGGTTGCTCTACCGATTCCTAAATGGGTGTGTCAGAGTGCACGGTTCTAACCACGTTTTCGGAATTTCCAGAATTTCTAAAAAATTTTTGCAGCACTGCTTTCAGAAATACTTCTTCGGTGATCAGGGTTTTACTTTAACACACACACACAAACACACACACACACACACGTTACCAGGTACCCAAGTATGCACTTTTCAAACATAAGGAGGTGTTCTCGGTTTGTGATATATGAGGTGTGGCTAACATTTTGGATTAGATATAACATGTGTATGTACATATGTATACTTTAGAATGGCTATGTTTCTTATTTAGTTATTCCTTGCTCAGCTAATATTCCCTTTTATGAACTGCCAAACCTTCTATAAATAAGCGCAGCCTGCAATTACTCTGGGTTGTGTTGCATTTTAGCTGTAGAAAAGAGAGAAGGATCTCCCCTTCCCATCTAATCCTCGGTGTGGTTAGGAAAAAACATGTCAAGCCGCATGTATGTCTTGCAGGAGAGTTTCTTTAGGGGTTTAGCAAGGTATTAGATTATAGCTACATTATATTTTGGTCGGTATACGGTACATTCCAGGCAAGCTTTATAGTGACAAATGGCTTTGCAACTGCACTTGGTTCCCTCCACCAGCACCACCCTGAGCTGGAGACGGGCAATACAGTAGTTGTTGTTTTTTTCAGTGAGAAGATTTTATATGAGTAGAAGCAATGAAAACGGTTGGGGAGGCAGACAATACATGGCATGTAACATCTCAAACTGTTTTCAGCTCTCTTCAAAAAAGGAAGAACTGTATCTTCCTATCTCGGTATATCTGAATACAGACAATTCTACAGGACTAGATGGAATTCTCTTTATCGTTTCTATCGCTTTTCTGACAGGTCGTGTAGTGGGATATCGGATTCTAGTCCACAGCCGGAGACATGCTCAGCTATAAAGCCTTGTGGATGTCCTGGGGCCCACTACTGTCTCTTAGTTTAACCTGTAGCTTGCCAGATTCATCTTGGATAATGCCGTATATGCTGCCATGAGATTTGTGAAACAGGAGCAGGATTAGGATGTGACAAATGAGTTACAAAGTACTTTATAGTCCTCGTTACCTTGTACTGATTCAGACCATTTGTCCAGCTAGGTCAGTATTGTCTAGACTGAGTGACAATGACTCTTGCATTTTCCAGCTCCGACTGAAGACGTCAAAGCTTGGAAAGCTTTGACTTTCCCCCTTAAAATAGCTATACAATTATTTCCATTTTGCTGAGGCCAAGTGGAGACTTGGTCACTGAGCAGCCATCCTGATTTGTTTGCAAGGAGATTAGATGACACTTGCTTTGTAATGAGCATTCCTTCCAATTTGTTTGCAGAGAAGTTAGATGATGGCTGCATCAAAACAAATGTTATCCCACCTTTTCCAGGGCATTTCCCCATCAATTTCCTTATTGCATAAGGTCCAGTATTTTGGGAGAACAGGTTTGTTGCGCAAGGGGCTATCCTTTTAACAACCTGAGTTTGTGTGTATGTGACTGAAATAATGACAGTCTGTAAATACCCTAAGAAACAGCAGATTGCACAAAGCCACCCATTCAAGTAATTTAAACCCAGATCTCCCAGTTCCCAGCTGCCAAAGGCTACAGATCCAAATTGCCTCTCATTCCTATGCCTGGGGCGATTGACTCTTCAATAGTGCAATCTATTTAATCTAGAACCTTTCTGATACTCAGTTTATACGCTCCTGGAAGTTGCTGCAGCATGGCTCCTCAACCACTACTCCTGGAAACATTTGATGGAACCAAATCTGGGTCGGCAGAGCTAGTGACGCATCATTGCTTCCCATATCAATGGTTCTGTACCATGAGGCATGGACAGGAACCATGTGCTGGCCTTGGCTTCTTGAATTCCTTCCTTCAAATGTTAGGCGCAGCATGGGAGTGGTTGTGCCTCTATCGGTAGTGTATAGGTTGGGCCTTGCAATGAAAGTGAAAAGCAGCCTCATTTATTTGGGTGTATCCAGATATCTCCAGGGTTTGGTAATAGAAGACTTGGGAGTGCCAAGAAATAGCAAGGGACACATAGAAAGGTGAAGTCTTTATGCTGAAGAGGCAGTCTAAGTAAGGTGAGATGATGAAACCAGAAACGTTACCTATAGAAGAGAATGGGATTCTGTCTACTGTTCTTAAAGAGGGTTCTGTTTTTCTGCCTTCTGAACAGGATGACTGTCAAGCTGTAATTTATACAGTATGTCCTTTATTCACACTTGTAGTGAATGTAATATCCTTTCTTTATGCTGGTTTTCATGTGCTGTTATTTTGGCCATTTCACGAACAGACTAAGGTAATTAGGTGTATTAAGTGATATGCCTGAGCTGGAACTTCACAACACCACACCTTGTCAGGTCTGTGTTTCCCTTTGGATTCTCATGTGTCCATTTCTGGACCCAGTTCAGAATTCTGGTTTTGATCTTTAAAGTCTTTATTGGTATGGGACCAAAGTTCCTGGAAGATTGCCTTCGTCCACATGTACATACTCTGATCTTAAGAGCTTCTTCCCAGTTCCTTCCTTTGGTGCACCCACCAGGTGAGGTCCTGCTGAGACAAGGGGCATCTCAGTGGTGGTAGCCAGGATATGGAATACCTTTGTCACAGAGAAACCCAGTGCCTACCTTGATGCCATTTGGTGCCAAGCAAAAATGTTATTGTTTTCCTAGGGTTTTAAATCATTTTGCTTCTGCTTCTTGTTCTTATACTCCTTTTATATGCTTTATTGTTGGCCTGCCTTCTTGTGCATTTGAATTTTTTTCTTGTCGTAAGCTGCCCAGGAGAACTTGTTGACACATACCCAGCTAAAAGAAATAGTACATGAATGTTGTCGGAGAACAGTTATGGATTTTTTCCTTCCTTATAGGCACTGTTGAATTGGGGGGGGGGCAGTCACTCTTTTTTGGGTAGGGTTGAGAGACTCTTAAGTATTTAAGGTACCTTTGGGAATTTCCTCCCATTAAATATTAGGCTCCTTCTCTGCTGTCTCTTTTTGTGCCTACAGAAAGCCTGCCTCTTCCAACAAGTTTTTTTTTATGTAGAGATCTCTTATAGTCTGCATCTGTATTGGGATTTTTCAGATGTTTTATTGTTTGTGGGTTTGCCATCCTGGGCTTCTTTGTGAGGAAGGGCAGGGTATAAAATAAATAAATGTCTATGAAAAGCTTCCCGCATGCTGGGGATGCCCCAGATATGATAATAGCATGACCTGCTACCACAAAATGTCAAAGTTGTATTCTGGTTTTCGCAACTGGCCGAGGGAATAATCCTAGCAGCATGAATGAGAGTGCAGCAAAAATGCAATCCAAGCAAGAAGTGTGAGGTCATTACAGCTGCAGTTGTGGATTCCTGGATCTGCTTGAGAGAGGGACTGGAAGATGATACTTTCTGGAAGCAAGAGGGGTAGAGAAGGGGGGGAAGGAGCAGCCAGTGGCATAGCGTGGGGGGTGCAGGGGGGGCCGGCCGCACCGGGCGCAACATCTGGGGGGGGCGCGCACTCGCAGCTCTCTGCCCCTACCTGGCTCACTCACTCTCTCTCACTGCAGTGCTGGCTGTGCGAATCCGATCCGAGCCACTGGGTCACCGCCTACTGTGGAGGGGGTGGGTGCCAGGCGTGCGGTGCGGAGAGAGAGCGAGGGACTATCTGGGAGAGGGACAGTGCAGCGGTCGCCCAGCGCAGCGCTGAGCGCGGGAGAGAACCACACCAGACCAGCCCAGGCAGCAGCAAGAAGAAGCTGGCAGCGGCAGCAGGTTAGGGGTTAGGGGGCGCAAATTACTTGCCTTGCCCCAGGTTAGGGGGCGCAAATTACTTGCCTTGCCCCGGGTGCTGACAACCCACGCTACGCCACTGGGAGCAGCAAAGGAAGAATTAAAGATGGTTACAACACAGTCCCAAGCAATGCTGGAGTGGGTTTAGTCATGCTGGCCACATGACCTGGAAAGTTGTCTGTGGACAAACGCAGGCTCTTTTGGCGTGAAGTGAGATGAGCATCACAATCCCATAGTCGCCTTTGACTGGATTAAACCATCCAGGGGTCCCTTACCATTTACACCAAAGTTATGGTTAAATAAATTCTAAATTGCAAACCAACTAATAAAAAACCCTTATGCCTCATTTGAAATTTAAAGGGTCCCTACTGGCTGTATCATGTGAGTGATCATAATATCACAAAAGTTAAAAACACTGGAACTAAAAACAAAAACATTATCAAAAGTTAAAGCCTGAAATATTTCAAAGCCTTTCTTTGTTTATGTTACCCCACCCTTTTATTGTAATGACAAAATGGTTGCAGTTCAGCAAATAAATCACAACATGGAAATAATCTGCTTTTGTTAGGAAACAATACCTTTCAGGTTGAACCTGCTGTCTGTGAGCTATTAAATAACAAGCATCAGCAAAACTGGCAAAACTGGAGGGAAGGATGGGAAGGACAGATGTATCTTAATGAGAAAAAGTTTATGAAACATTGGATAATTTTACTTCTATTAAGACCTTTCCAGTGTGTTCAGCCTTTTTTCCTTAGGATACATGTCCACAGGATACCTCCAGTGAGCAGAAATCTAGGTGCAGAATGCTACAAAGAGTTAATGTGAATTGGTTTATGCATTGTCATAACTGAATTCAAATACTTCTCTGAGGTATAATTTTATAAGGAGGGCAATTACCGAATCATGTGGCTTGTTCCCTGTTCCACCCCTTTTCTCTCTTAAACTGGGTACAAGGTTTTCAGCAGGAAAATATGGCTCATGGCTCTCTCTTCTCTGTTTCATATTTTCTAAATATAACCTCTCAGATACAAGTGGTGCAGCCTTAAAATTTAAAAGAGTCTTTTAACATCTAACCTGCAAATGCAAAAGCCACCCAGTCTTCTGAACATTCAACTACTCAAGAGCAAGACACAAATGTGTGGCATAAACAGTTTAAACTTAAGTTTAACAACACTTGCTCTGAATAGATGTTGTGGTTTGACTGTTTCCTGCAGAGGATGGCCAAAACAATGATTTTTCCCCCCCTTCAAAAGCCATGGAAACAGTTACCTTACAGTGTACACAATCGCAACTCTCTTCTTCTCATTCAGCAGTTACAATTACAATGCCTACAATTCAAAATAGAATGGTGTTCTAGTTTATTCTAGTTCCAACCTGGTCCATACTGTTTGCATGACTCCAGCAAGGGCAGAACACAAAGTGTGGGGATGGACTCACAGATTAGTGTAGTATTTTATTAGTATTTGAGAAGCTTTATATTTATTGAGTCATTTTAAATATTTACGCTCCACTTTTTAGGGCAATGTTCTAACGAGGTGGCTTTTCACCAATAAATAAAGAATAATTACAGTAAAAATAGACAATGTAAATTAATGGAAACTAGACACCAACCAAAAACAACACAAATCCAGAATGACAGAGTTCCAATCATGGAGTCTTAAGCATAAGGATCCAGAGAGACCTCATTATTAAAAGTAGTAAAAATTAATCAGAGAAGTCTTAAGTAAAACAAATGAGTCATTAGAGCTGAATAAAAAGCAACTAAAAGGGGTCTGTCAATGATGGGGGCAGGCAGTTCTAAAGATTCAAAGCAACTAAAGCTCTGTCTTAGTTGTTGTCAACCTGTTTTTTCCTGGCAGACCAAGAAACTCTGAGGTGAATGATCCTAAGGTTCAAGCAGGTTAATATGGGCATAGGCAGGGTACAGGAATGTGTGGTAGCATCTCGGCTCCAGGGGTTTCTGGATGAGTCAGATTATCTAGATCCATTCCAGTTTGGTTTCAGGCCTAATTATGGGATAGAGACGGTTTTGATCACCTCGGTAGATGACATCTGCCAGCAGTTGGATAGGGAGAGTTGTCCCAGTTGGTTCTGTGGGACCTTTCAGCAGCTTTTTATACTCTTGACCATGGTATCCTTCTGGGCTCCCTTGCTTCTGTTCTGGCCTCCGCACCAGCATGCTGATGGCACCTAACTATTACAACAAATAACACCAGGTCCAGAAGGCCATCCAAGATGTGTACCTGATTCACCAAGGGCAGTGCAACTCTATCCAGAACGGGTTGCAAACCTCCATCCAGATGGGAACTTTCTACGCAAAACAGTACTCTCCACCCCCTTGTATTTCAGCTTATTTGCCTTCATCCAACCACAGTCAGAGTTTAGTGCTGCAGCTGGAGCCATGATACATCTTTGGGGTCCACCCAACAATGCACAGAGTGGGTTTTGACAGTCTTTTCTCCCCGCTTTTCATCCTTTTTCTTCTGGCGGCCATCACTAGCATAATGGTGAAGACCTGCATTGCACCTTGGATTCCTAGGTTATCTGGGGAGTTCAAGATGGAACACATTGCACAGCCACTAGCTCTTAGCAAGCTAGCTGATTACAGCTTGTCCAAAACATGGAATTTCAACGGCAGCCGTAAGTTGCTTTAAGTAGAACACATTTGATGCTTGGAAGTCACTTACACGTGGAGAAAAGTACAAAATCTGAAAAGCACCTCACTGAAGACTCCTGAATAAGCTTAGCAGTCATGGAATAAGAGGAAATGTCCTCTTGAGGATCAGGAACTAGTTAAGTATTAGGAAGCAGAGAGGAATAAATGGACAGTTATCCAGATGGAGGAATGTAGAAAGTGGACTTCACCAAGGATTTCTATTGGGAATATACTTTTAAACTTGTTTATGAATGACCCAGAGTTAAGGGTGAGCAGTGAAGTTGCCAAGTTTTTTATGATATTAAGTTGCTCAAACAAAAAAGGTTGTGAAGAGCTCTAAAAGGGCACCTCCAAACTTAGTGAATATGGGGTAAAATGGCAGGTGCAAGTCTGTGCAAACAAATGTAAGGTGGTGTATGTGTTGGGGGGGCCGCGTAATTTCACATACAAGCTCATGCGGTCTGAACTGTCAGTGACTGACTGGGAACAAGACCTTGGGATAGGATCAGACAAATTACTTGAAGATAAAGGCTATCATAGGCTGCTAGGGTTGCCATACATCTGGAATTTCCCAGACATACCCAGAAGACTGCATTCGGAAGCAGTGTCCGGGCGGAAATCAGCAAAATGTCCGGGAAAATTCCATGTGTATGGCAACCCATGTTGGTAGTGTCGTTTTTGCCGATTTCCCTTAAAAATAGCTCAAAACTGTCCATTTTTGTGCGATTTTCACTTTTTGAAATATGGCGACCCTATTGGCTACTATCCATGATAGCTATGTTCTGCCAACACTGGGAGAACCAGATGCTGGGCTAAGTGGCCCATTGGTCTGTTTTTATCCATTACAGTTTATAATACACCATAAAGCTTATGAATTTGTTGCATTTTAGCTTGGACAAGATGTCCCTCATGGTCCCTTCCAACTCTACAATTCTATGATGCTATGAGCAGTGGAATAGTGCAGTCAAGCACACATAGTGGTGCATGCATGTACTAGCCTTTTTTTAGACAAAGCGAAATGTTTTCAGTTTATGAAATTCATATATCAAGCACTCTTGACATTCCCTTAACCAACATCCTGCCCTTCAGAGTTATAAGATAACTTTTCTAATTTCAGTCACCCATTGTGGGATTTCAGTTGAAACCACCCAACTTTTTTTAGCGCGGTTGCACGATAGATTTCAAGTAAACTTTCACAAGGCTATAAAAACATGTTGAATAATATATATTTGACAGTTGATGCTGCAGATAGAATCCCGGTTGGAAAGAGGAGAATGCCAAATCTGACAGCTTGTCAGTTCCCTGATCTTCAAACCACAAGCAGTCTCTCTGGTAGTGTTGCATCTACTGTATCAGCAGCAGCTGCTGGCTGCAATTTCCCTGCTCCTGGCTTTTGCTGACCCCACCCACAGTATGAAGGGGATGTTTGGATGTGAATTAAATAATGTAGAAGAAGAAGATTGAAAAGATCAGAAAAGAAATAAGAAAGCGGGTGCCTTAAATGGCTTTCTTTTAATTCCATTTAATGAATGTGCAGTTTTACACAACTCTCTCTCTTTTGCTTCTTAAACCTTTATTGGTATACACAATGTGGACAAATATCCACGTGCACATTTCCCTCGAAGTAAACGGAGAGAATTTTTTTATTTAAATATGTGTTCTAAGTTCTAAGCACTTTGCAAACATCCTCTGAACTAACTTGCCAAGCCATGGAACACTTCTGAGGAATTCTGCTCTAATCCTGAGCTCAGCTGTTGCATGCTTTTTTTGTGTATAATTTTTCTTTATTATTTTTTTAAAAAATATTAATTGCACAGGTAATTATGCTGCCAAAGATAACTCTTTGGGGTGACCTTGATTTGGGGGGAAGGTTAAGCTCATGATTCAGTTTTCCACACGGAAATTTGTTGGGCTTAGAAGTGCTGAACAATGCGCAAGACCTAACAAGACATGAATGATCTAGTTGAGATTCCTGCATTGCAGGGCGTGGACTAGATGACCCTCGGGATCCCTTCCAACCCGACAGTTGTATGATTCTATGATTCTATGATTCTATATTTGTCTACTCAGAAGTAAGGCTCATTGTGTTTAATGGGTTTTATTCCCAGTTAAGTGTCTAAGACTTAGGGATAGCACTGTCCAACTAAATAGACTTTGTAGTATACTAATCTATAGTATCCATAAATAAGTAACGTATGTCAAAACTCAGTAAGGATTTAAACTCACACAAAAGATGAACCAAAACTCTTTTGAGCTTGCAGAAAATAATGATCAGGCATGCTGTGCTAAAAAGGCTGCCCTGTTTGCTAGGAATGGCACCATTCTCAAGTGATTCCCGTGCTGGCACTTAATTTGGAGAAGTGTATGGAAAGGAAGGGACGCGGGTGGCGCTGTGGGTTAAACCACAGAGCCTAGGGCTTGCCGATCAGAAGGTCGGCTGTTCGAATCCCTGCAACAGGGTGAGCTCCCGTTGCTTGGTCCCTGCTCCTGCCAACCTAGCAGTTCGAAAGCACGAAGTGCAAGTAGATAAATAGGTACCACTCTGGCAGGAAGTTAAACAGCATTTCTGTGCGCTACTCTGGTTCGCCAGAAGCAGCTTAGTCATGCTGGCCACATGACCCGGAAGCTGTACGCCGGCTCCCTCGGCCAGTAAAGCGAGATAAGAGCCACAACCCCAGAGTCGTCCGCGACTGGACCTAATGGTCAGGGGTCCCTTTACCTTTACCTATGGAAAGGAAATGGTTGATTCTGGCATTAACAAACTCCCCAAGAAGGAAAAGGGTCTGCAATATACTTACTGCAAGTCATGACATGATGCTTTGATTTTGAAGAACTGCTGTGCAAGGCATTGCCAAAGGGAAGTGAGTACGTGATGCTGATTTTCACTTTGTGGGGGTTTTTTGTTTGCTTGCTTCTGGGTGTGGACCTAAGCAATCGGATGTAGCATGCATGGGCAAATATCCTAAGTGTTACAACTTCGTTTTTCATGCCTCAACTTTCCATACTGAAATGTCTGTGACTTCCAGGTGCCTGGAAAACTTTTCTGTATTATTTAGAAAATGCCAACATGACCGGGCAGGGCTTTTTTTTTTAATTTTAAGGATGGCTAAACCCAGAGCTGTCAATCAGGCTTAGTTTCTAACTTCTGCATCTGTAGGCATAGATGTGCTGGTGCTGGGAGAACCTTTAGCAGTAACATGAGCTGCAGAATGGACAGAATCTTTGACACTAAATGAATAATTGTGGAAGTAGTTAACAGTGAGCTAGTGGCATTATCTTAAAAAAAATTCCATAAAATTTTATTAACGTTTTTTCATAATACAATTAAAACACTTATCTAAATAAAAACAAAAACAGAAAGTGGAACAGAAAATGCAGATAGCTGTCAAAGATAGCTCTTTACCCTTGTCTCACACAAAAAGAGGTGGGCGCTCTCAGATTTCACGTGGGAGCTTTTCAATAGATACATATTTTCAGTAGGGGCACCTTCTAGCCTACCAGAACCTTGTGATCTTCATCAGAAGTCCTTGTCTGGGCCACACTACGGTTTGGGATTAGGTGGCTAGTGACTGGAAGGCTAGTGACCTTCTCACTCGTGCATTTGGAATATCCTCACCAGAGAAGCTCACCTTCCCCCTAGTTTAACGAATTTCTGGTACCTGGTGATAACTTTAATTTTCAGGCATTTTAGTAATTTGGATTGGTTGACATATGGCAACCTGACAGATTAGGTGGTCGAGTTTCCCATATTTGGGGGAAAGACAGGGGTCCCCACATCAGGAATGCAGTGGATGAGCCTACCCTAGAAAAACCTTCATGATCAAGGTATCTCCCCTGCCAGATAACCCAACTACTACTAAAGGCTGTTGCCCTAAAATACAAGAATTTTGCACCAGCAGCAAAAAGCCTGCTGCACTACGCTTAAATGTTCTGCTAACAGAATCTGTGATGCTGCACGGGAATTATCAAGAACCAGAAGTTCTCAAAAGAAGATAACCAGAAGTTATCAAAAGTTAAGAAGAAAATTCAAACCATCAATTTCAGGTATCTGGAGTCTGCAGTGCTCAGCCACAGATAAATCATGTGAGATGTCCACTTTTCTGTTTCAGCTCTAAATGAAGAGTTTGCTCAGATCAATGGCAAACTCCTAAATCATATCACCACGACAATAATCAAATGTCACCCATGTGTGTGGACTGTCTCACCAAGAGATTTGTCTGTACCAACAGTACAGCATTTATTGTCACCTTGAAAAAGTCATTCTCCTAAATCTGAGGGAAGTCAGGAAGCGTCTTGAAACTTAGATCTGATTTTTGCCGACAGCAAGTTCCAGCCCTGACGTAACGATAGCTGCTGCCAAACAGCTTTTAACTTGCACAATCTTTTAGGATCCTTAGAGGACCCTTTGCTAGTTAAATAGCTATAACAGAAGAATTGCAGGTCTGACTTCTTGTATATCCAGTCTTAAACACATTCTTTCATTCTTTCAAACATATTTCTGAGAATGGTGAAGTTATAATACAGCTTATTTGGAAAGCAGTGTTAACATGTTTCATACCCCATCCTTTGGTAGGGAATATGGAATGGGGTCAAAGCAGTGTTATCAGCATTAAGTATTTGATCATGAGATAACTGGTTGGAGTGTGATTAAGATGGAAAAGTCGGTTCTCCTTCATGGAGCAACCATGACATCCCCTGTTGCTGAGCGGGTTAGTTTGGATGGCCACAAATTTGATTGGACACCTTCAATTGTTGCTGCGGAAAATTTATTGTTGCAATTTTATTTGATTGATGTATATATGTTCCCTGTGCACAGCGTTGAACTTCCTCTTTTTGCTGCGCACATCGGATCACCTGCCCACCCTCCCTTTATTTAGGGTTTGTTTGCACTGACCTTGCTATGCCTGTCATGGGGTCGTCTGCCATTGGGGCAGGGGCCTGGTAGGAATTTTACCATTTGGCTGATTGGCTGGGGCCATTTGGGTTTGCCTACTGCGTAGCAAGTCGTCACAATTTGTAAGGTTGCGGTTAGGCATTAGTTAATTTTTTGGATGGTGGAGGGGATGTGGTTGGCTGTGCCTGCCTCTCCAATGCTGCTGCTGCAAGGGTATTCTGTTAAAGGAATCCAGGGGCTCGCCATTCTTTTGTCCGAATCCCTGACAAAGGGCTAGGGCCACGCAAGAGCCCCTGGGAGCATTTGGGGAGAGGTGAGAGCCTGGCACCCAGCTATATTCTCTCCCCAAAATTGTTTATCCTTACTGACTTCCGCACAGGTGTGGTTGTCAGTTCTGTTCCTACCTTCAAATGGGAACAGATAGTTGCTAACCAATGCCTAAGCAACCACTCACATACTGTAATTCAATAAAGTTGTGGCCAAAATTATGCCGAAAACCAAAACAAAAATGATGTGTGAAACGTGTTGTTATTCGGGGGGTGTCTTGGGGGTCCTCAAGACGCAACAAAGACTCAACAATCCTTGGAGTCAACTTCTGTGGTGCTTTGATCTTTCCCCCCCAGGCCGTTGCAGATTTGTCTGGTGGTTTTTAAGGTGGTTTATGTTGTAATTCGCCCTGAGATCTGCGGATGAAGGGCGGTATACAAATTCAGTAAATGAAATAAAAATAAAATAAGAATCTAACTAAACGTTATGTAAGCTTGTGTATTGAAACCTATGCCCCCCCCCCCAAATTTCAATGTAGTTTTTAATAAACCCACTTTTTTGGGTCAGGAAGCTTCTTAGTGACAGGTTGAGTCAGGGTATGTACACATCATACTATTCCAATCATATTCTTTCTCTCATTAATTCTGGGCACTCTCTTTTATCCTGTACAGAGTTATAACCTTTAACAAACTACAGTGCCCAGAATTCTTTAAGTGAAAAGATATGCTTTGAATGTGCCTTAAAGGTACAGTGCACGCCTAGCCTCAGAGTGGAGAACTGACAGGCAGAGGTATGCTACATCCCTTCCCTGTCCCTTATTTTCTTCCTCAAACTGCTCTTCCTAGGAGTCAATGAATCTGTCAGTTTTGGCACCTTGCGGTTTCTCATGTTTCCAAGTTCACCCCACATTCAAATACGTTCATGTATTAAAAAAATCAAAAGGCTTGTATGAAAATTGGTATATTTGCATATGCATTTCTTCCCATATATGCATTTTTTGCATGCAATTTTGCCAAGTATGTGCAACTTTGCAAGCAATTCGCCCCTAACGCAATGCCACTTCACCCCCTGCAACAGCCCAGTAGGCAAGCTGAATCACAAGTAAGATAGCTTTCATTCAGGAAAGTGCTAATGCAAATTAGGGTCTACATGCTCTAACTAAATAAAGAGCACTAGGGTCACATCAGCAGCCAAACTTTTGTTTCACTGACATATAAAGGAGTTGAAAGATATAATGCTTTATGCTGAATCATATTACAGGGTCTCTTGCATCTCTGGCATGCAATGCACACTCCTCTGCCAAGATTCATCTGTAGAGATAGGGGCACACATAAACAAGCAATGCAAATCAGAATTGTGGGTGTTTCTTTTTTCTGGCACCTCCAGCACAATACAGAAGCCTATGAAACTCAAAGAAACACCTATGCCTGCAGCATAATCTGTGACAGCGAGGAGTCTTGGTTCTGTTTATAGTAACTGTGTATTCCATCTGACTCAATATATAGTGAAAAGTTGCCTATAGTTTGAAATGCCAAAGCATTGATTTTGAGCTTTCCAAGTGAATATCTGGGAGATATGCATGTATGGAAAATGTCCCAACAAAGGAAATACACAGTATAAGATGAAATCGGGAGGAAAAACTAGGATGAAGGTGTTACTGGACTGAGGAGATTTCTGAAGTAAGGATATTAAATGAGAACATAGAAATTAAGGAGGGAAACGCCATAGAAAAGTCAATAAATGTCTGCTTGATTGTAAAAAGGTGACAAAATCAATGGCAGAATTTGAAATGGGAAAGAGGATAACTTGACTGATGTTTTGAAGTCAGTACAAAGTTCTTTAAAGAGATTGGAAACATCCCTTAGCAACCACAGAGAAGATTTATTTCAAATTGGAATAACCCCCTCCTGAAATATCTGAGACAATTCACCAACTAAGGAGAGCACATCACTGCCAGGGATTGGCAGAAAGATGTGTTTATGTCTGCCAAATGATAATAACGTTATCTAGTAAATTCTCAGACACATGTCTATTTCACTCCCAGGGTGTGGGATATAGATGATTTCACCCATGCAAGGTTTTCATAGCATCCACCTGATGTTGTTGATATCAAAATGCCAGCCTGTGTTTGTTCCCCATTTACTCCAGATCTAACCTTTCTGCTGTTCTGCAAGGTGTTCTGCTGAACTGGGCAGGTGAACAGGTAGTCATGTGGAATCTATGAAACTATTGCGTGTCGAGGTACCCAAGCCACCCCAATAAAAGACAATTCACACATAATTTTGGTTTAAGGTTTTTGGCATAATTTTGGCCACAGCTTTATTAGAATACAAAAAATGTGAGTGGTTTGCTTAGGTATTGGTTGCGACTATCTGTCCCCACCCGGGGACAGACTGACATTCACACACCCACGAAAGTCAGAAAGGGAAAACATTTTGGGGAGAAAGATGGAGCTGGGAACCATGCCCTCACCTCTCCCGAAATGCTCCCAGGGGCTCTTGCGTGGCCCTAGCCCCTTGACAGGGGTTCGGACAAAAGCATGGCGAGCCCCTGGATTCTTTTAACAGAATACCCTTGCAGCAGCAGCATTAGAGAGGCAGGCACAGCCAATCCATGCCCCTCCACCAACCAAAAATCAACCGATGCCTAACCGCAACCTTACAAGTTGTGATGATTTGCTACGCAGTAGTCAAAAACCAAATGGCACCAGCCAATCGGCCAAATGGACAAAATTCCTACCAGGCCCCTGCCACCAAAGCAGACGACCCCATGACAGGCATAGCAAGGTCAAGCAAACAACCCTAAATATGGGGAGGGTGGGCGGGTGATCCAATGCGTGCAGCGAAAAGAGGAAGCTCAACGCTGTGTGCCGGGAATATAAAACTTCTTGGCTGTTAATCAAAAAATGGCAACAACAAATTCTCCCCAATGACATGAGGAGTCCAATCACAATGGTGGCCAACTACCTTTACCCGTCCAGGAACAGTGGGATGTCTTGTAAGACCCCACCGCAACACGTGCTCTCCATGAAGGAGAACACACTTTAACAGTGTTCGAATGTAGCTTATAACTGATCTCCCTAGCATTGCTAAGAAGCCAGCTGGGAGGTACCTGTGAAACCTTAGGCAGCACCCCTTTTTTGAATTCAACAAAGCAAATCAGAAAATAAAACTATGTAGGTAAAAAAATAAGCCTGTCTTGTACTAGTCGTCCCTTGCATTACTTCACTATACTAACAATGTTATGCTACTCCTTCTTCCGCTAGGTTATGATATACTAATACTGATTCACACACTAAAGAATGAGCAAAGCCCTTACACTGGCAATGCATGATCTCTGACATAAGAAAACAGCTGCATCATCAGTTATTACTACCTAATGTGTAATACATGAATCATAACAGAGCTCCTTCACCAGATTTGTTAAGGCAGGTTTCAAAATACCATCCTTCAGACAAGGTTCAAATGTGCTGTTGAAAGTCTAAAATGGCAATAAGATATTACCCTCTTGCTTAACCCCTTCTATATATAAATAGATAAAAGTTTTTATTCATTGAAATAGGACTTTGTTTCAGCTATCTTTGTCAGACAACTGCCTTTTTAGTTACTATACTCCCTCCTTAATGGGTTGCGTAACAATACACCCACTCTTGGAAAATGATGAAACTTGAAGCTCCCAGATGTCTGCATGCTGGAAATATATACCTACAAGATGTCTCCAAAATTTCTGTTGCTTCACAATTTCCCTTCCAGAGAAGATTAAAGGACAACTGCCACAGACCAAACAAGCAAGCATCCACAATAAATGGAAACACTCCATAGCTGACTGCAGTGTTGGCTATGTTACAAAACCGTGTTGCCACCCTCTTCTGACATATGTAAAAGTGAATGTTAATGCTGAACATCTATTTCTATTTGAATCATAAACAAACTGTTTGTAAGCTGCAGCTGGTCTGGAACATTGATGCTTGTTTGAATTAAGGTGTATTTCTATATAACTGTTTTCTCTGGATCCGGCATTCATTTGTTAACCTAATTATTATGGATCATCCGGATGACATCATTGCCACCCTGTTGCATTGCAGTATTTATTGTGGTACTCTTGTCTTTAGTCAGACCTGGTTCCTGCTTATTGCAGTTCCAGGAAAGGCTGGCAAAGTGTTATTAAGGTGCCTGGCGAAGGAACAAGCACAGGAGATGATGTTCCTGGTGATGCCCCACCTTTTCCTGGTTGTATTGCTAATAGGCTATGTGGAGAAATACATTTACCAGGACAGGGTTTGTTTTATATACAACATAAAAGAGTTGCTGTGTATGGGGAGTTATTTGAAGGGTTAAGCTTGTAATATTAAGTAGGTGGTTGGCAGCTGGCAGTTAGTTGTGTAAGACCAGACTGCGAAGAGATGGGTTCTTCTTATACAGAAGTAGTGGGCTGTAAAAAAATTCTTCTGATTGGCTTGCTAGGCGAAATTTTTGGGAACTTACTGGATTGGAAAAGTGGTCTGATGAGAGGGAGAATGCTATGCCATTCAAATTTGATTGTTAGAAGGGCAGGTTGGCAAATAAAAAGGCCAGTTCTACCGCTGTTCAGGGAAAATGAGACTAGGAAATGCAGTGGAATAGAAGAAGGAGCTGGGTGAAAAGGCTAAATATGAAGAATACAGGAGTAAAGGCTGGGAGAAAAGGCAGAATATGATGGAAGGCAGGAGGCTACTGAAGCTGGGAAATACCTGGCAGTATAGTCTGAGAGAGCTGAATTTCTGGCTTAAGCTGAAGATTGTCAGAGAGGTCATCGAAGGACTGTGAGCATTGAGGAAGAGTTCAGCCAGGAGCTTCTGGAGCTGACCAGAGAGAGAAAAGCCAGATTCTTCTGTACCTGGTGGTGTTGAGTGGTACCTCGGGTTAAGTACTTAATTCGTTCTGGAGGTCCGTACTTAACCTGAAACTGTTCTTACCCTGAAGCACCACCTTAGCTAATGGGGCCTCCTGCTGCTGCCGCACCGCCGGAGCACGATTTCTGTTCTCATCCTGAAGCAAAGTTCTTAACCTGAAGCACTATTTCTGGGTTAGTGGAGCCTGTAACCTGAAGCGTATGTAACCTGAAGCGTATGTAACCCGAGGTACCACTGTATATGGCATATACATATAGGAGAAGGAACTAAGATTTTATCATCCGTTTTATATAAGCTTCTCCATTTCCAGACAACTATAGGTCTATAGATGAAGGTAAACAGCATAGTACAGGTATATGGTGGCAGTGGTTAAAAAGTGTGAAAAGTAAGTGCCATGGTAGGAGTAAAGTAGAAACTCTTGTACACACTTGGTGAATCCGCAGTGTTAAATAGAAGCTGGTTCTCTAATATGAAGTGGACACTGTCCATGTTTTTTTAACAACACTTACGGTAATTGTTGTTTGAGAATGAGTGAGGTATACACTACTGGGAATAAGCAGAGTATGACTTTAAAAAAAAGTATTTTCCATTCCTGTGGGTTTGCAACAACACAACTGCAGTTTACCCTGCAGGTTTGGGTTTGGTGCAGCCACTCCTTGACTTTGTCTTGACAAGGGGTGGTAGTGGATTGGTCAGGTATAGGCAAGTGCAGCTAAAATGATGCCTGGCTAGTTCAGGGGTGAAGGTGCAAATTTGAAGGTTCTGTGACAATCCTAGATCTAACAAGAAAGAGAATGAGGAGAGACCTAACTGTAAAACTAACCAAGTGTAGGAAGAAGAGTAACTGAAGCAGTCTGAGTAACCAAAAGTCTAAACTGAGAAGGAAACAAAATTAACAGGAAACAAACCTAACCACAAACTTTGCTGTGGATGTTATTTGGAATGAATCATTTGTTCTCATCATCTTCAAAGTAACATTTTCCCTTCGATTCTTCCAATTAACTGTGTTCTATCAAAAGCTCATAAACAATGCCATATAAAAATTCTGTTGAGTCCCAAGAAATATGGTTTGAGTCTTTTCAAGCATAGGGTACCTTTACAATTAATGTGAAAAGGGCTGAATGGGAGTGAGCTTGAAGTCCGTTATGGCTGTGCCATAGTTTGGTCTTTTTGACTGAACCAAGCTTTCACATACACCTAACTGTTCTCTCACTATTTTCAGATTCTCCTCAGCAATTTTTTCTCTTTACATGCCCTCCAGGGAGGTTTGATGGTCCTATGCAAGCATTGCTATGAAAGTGAGCAGCTTATCAGAACACATGGAGGCACCATGAATTCTTCCACGAATTTGTTTAATCCAGTTTTATTTTTAAACCACATTCTCCTCCCGTCAGTAGTTTCTGGGGCTTGACTTCTTTCCTTTTTCAGGCATAGTCTAGTCTGTTTCATCCTTTTTGTCAAGGTTGCTAGCGGACATCATGTGCGTTTGTATTAACTGGCTGGTATTCAAGATGTTTAAAAGTCATCTAAAGCTAAAACCTCCGCTTTGCTGCCGTTTCTGATACAAAAGCTTTTAGTGAAGTCAACAGATGGTTTAGCGTTCAGTGAGTGCTTTTTCTTTCCTCCTTGTACTTGGCTACTGTCTGTTTTTTCTTCTCTAATGAACTTTCCACTTAAGACTGTTCAGAAACAAAACAGTCAGTATTGGATAGCTCTGTGGAACTCTGATGGAAGCATTTAACAAAGCATTTTACTTCTGAATATGAATGAGTGTTGCCTTTTATTTCAGTTAAAAGTTATTTATAGTTTATCACGGTGCTTTTTAAATTGATTGTGCAAAGATGCTTGACCAATAGCATGAACAGTAATTGCATCATGGACATGCAAAAAAGGCTGCTCACTTCACATTGTCTGCTTTTGGCAGAAGACTGTGCTATGGCTTAATATGATTATTCATGGACTTCCTTCTGGCTACATAGCCCAAATGAGTATGCTTTGTTTTGCTTTTGTTTTGTTTTAATCTAAAACAATTATTCACATATAAATTTCAGTATTCCCCCAGCTTGCATTTCCCTTAAGTGGCTTCAGCTGAATTCTTAGAAGAGTGCCAGAAGAAGTTAAAATCTGTGACCCCCCCCCTTGCATAGTAACTGGGATTACACCAAAGGTTCTCTGTGCTGTGAGCTGTTTTCCAGTAAGGTCATTGGTGCCTGGTTATGCTTTTAATGATCTCTACTTCTCCAGAGGCCATGCCTGATCATTGTCTAAATTGACAAACGGTGACTTCACTGCCTGAGCTCTTCAGTTTTCCTTTGCAACATCTGCCGCAACTGCACAGCTGTGCCATATTCTGATGCGGCCCAAAGACTCTTGTTCTATTTTGAGGTGAAGCTATTGTAAATCGCATAATGTTTAGCATAGCAAGGAAGGGAGTTTGGCCAGCGTTTTGACACCGTATGGACGATGGCGGTGTGTTTACCCCAACAACGGTTGTCATACAGATTAAGCATATTTGAAACTCCTGTTAGCAGCGTTAAAAAAAAAAGAGAAGGGAAGAAAAGGAGAAAGCGGTTGTTGCTGAGGAAATGAAAGCAATGTCTTGTTCCTACTTGTACCTACACAATGTGCCTCCATTTGCTTGGCTCAGTGTTCCTTACTTCATCTCCATAAAGCTGATTTAATGTAGTTATTTAATGTGCCAGATTAGATTCTGTGGCAGTCTAATCCAGGGGCAGCCAGCATGGTTTTGAACCACAACGCCCTTCACCCCAGGCTATTGGCCATGCTGGCTGAGTTGTAGTGTACAGTATCTGGAGAGAACCACTTTGCTTGTTCTCTGCTCTACTCATTATGAAAGCACATACATATACAAGGTAAACCATTGTGGTTTGGTGGTCAGAGTATTGAATTAGGAATGGGGAGATCTGGGTTCAAATCCTTACTCAGCCTTGAAGCTCAGTGGGTGAATTTGAGCTCATCACCGTCTCCTAACCTCTGAAAATAAAATGGGGCGTGGTGGAGGGAGAAGAACAATGTATGCCACTCTAAACTTAGAGGAAATATAGGATGACAAAGTAGAAAGGATAAAATCTAAGGCCTTCATAGGATGGCTGATCTTTCAGAATTAAATATGACTCACTTTTTCTGCACTACAAAGTGCTAACCATGATATAAATACGTATTTTTCGCTCTATAACACGCACCTGACCATAACACGCACGTAGTTTTTAGAGGAGGAAAATCCGTAGGCATGCCACCCATAGGCATTTCCTCCATAACATGCACAGACATTTCCCCTTACTTTCTAGGAGGAAAAAAGTGAGTGTTATGGTGCAAAAAATACGGTAACTTGCTTAGAAACTGCTTGGGAGACTCTGGATTTCATCAGAAACTTACCTGGTTCCTCATTGAAAAGGTCAGTCAGGGTTCACAAGTTGCACTGGAATAGATTGCTGGCCCATTTCTGCTGAGCATAGCTGCTAGGAGGTATGGTTCTCACCCTCCTAGAATATTGTCCCTAGCATTCCGGAATGCACATGGGGTTCCATTGCCGACAAACTGATATCAAAAGGGTTCCCTAAAAGTAAGAACAAAAACAACAAAACTTTAGAATGGTGTTGGAGACATGTCCAAAAATCCACAAATGTTTTTTATTGGTGACACCTCAGTGGCAAGTAATGGCAGGCAGACAAGTTTTTCTGAAAGGCAAGTTGGCCATCTTATTGTTATCCAGTGTACAACTGCTGGGAATTTGGTACATTCTCAGGCACAGGCTCAAGCCTCACCAGCAACCGGAAAACAAATTAAACATGCCCCAGAATACTTTGCAGTGCACAGAATGTTTTGTGGTAGATACAGCTAAGTAGCACTTTTTAGAAGTATGAAGCTTTGAGGAACCAACATAGCATGATCAGCAGTTTTGATGCCATTTTTGTAAGGTTTTTTCCATTGCTCATTCCATGTTCCTAGTGCTCAGCAACTATGTCTCCATATGTTGTGGCAAGAGCTTCCTTTCCCAAGAAAATGGCTTGGGTTGTTGACACGATCGCCCCTGAGCACCCTCTCCTGCTTTGTGGAGCCTGCTTGGCTCCCTGGTATTTATTCTCCAGAGCTTTGGACGAGGACACAAGCTCTCTGTGACTTGTTTGCAAAGCATTTTGAAGATAAAATCACTTGTATCAATCAGGATCTTGACTGCTGTTACAGCAGATGAATCTCCACCCCCTGTCTCTCCCATTTCCTTATTTGTCATTCTCATCATTTCCTCTATGGGTGCCCTCTGTCTTTGAGCTCTTTGCTCTCCTACTTTCAAGGCTTGTTGGGTTCTGGGAGATGGAGGGGCTGGGATGCTTTCTAATGACACTGTGTTAGTCAGCTGCCACTCCACTTCTGCCTCCTCCTGTCCCATTATTTCCCAAATTTTCCCCTCACCTGCCTCTGAGCCGTGACCCCCCTCAAACCACTGTTGTGAATCTATACTGTCTTCCTCTTCCCTGGAAGGGTTACGTTGGGGAGGCGGTCTCCACCATTCCTGCTGCCCAGTCCCTGACAGTGGGTGGCATCACTTTGCGGTGGTTCTGGTCCTACTTGGATGGTTGTTTCCAGAGCGTGATTGGGGAGTGCTCTTTGGCCCCGTGGACTCTTCAGTGTGGGGTTCATCAGTGTTTGATTTTTATGGAAATAATGCTGATTTTCTATGACCTTTTAGATAATTTTTGTGGGAGAGGAGTTATTGGTTCATTTTTGTTTTGTGTATTTTGTGTTCTCATTTTGTATTTTTCTGTTGTGACCTGCCCTGTGATCTTTGGATGAAGGGCAGTGTACAAATTTAATAAATCATCATTGCCATCAAGGTGGCATACATCAGCTTTTGCTAACTTGGCGCCCTGTAGATGTTTTAGAATACAACTCCATAAACCCCAGCCTGCAAGGGTTACTGGATGTTACTGGTGAGAGTTGGTACCACGTTGGCCTGAGTCACAAGTGTGTGACCCAGTGTCATACAGTGAGTTTCATGGCCTAGTGGTGATTTGTCTCTGAGCATATATTGCCACTCTAACCGCTACACTGTGCTGGCATGTACATCACTCTGTGGTTTGATTCATGACACCATTCTCTTTGAAACTGCTAGTGGACAAAGAATTGGACGTTGCTTACAGGAAGTAGAGCTTACTGGTGCCCTTCAGCAAATCATTCTCTCTTAGCCTAAGTCTGCTGTTGAAGTCTTCACTGATATCTTCTTCTTTGGCGATCACTCATACCAGAGTAAGATTGTCTTCCATAAACTCGGTCTTAACAGTGACTCCATAAATGACTGTGGAGGCCAATTCTGGATCCACACGTCCTTCCACAGTGGGGACATAGGTTTCTGGGTGGGAGTTGATCACGGTGAGGGTTTGCCAAATGTGCCTTCCTCTTAGCATGTTTCTTCCTTTCATCCTGAGTTTGCACATCTTCAAAGTCCATGACACCTTTGGTAAAGGCTGTTCTCCAATTGGAGCGCTTGCAGGCCCAGTGTTTCCCAGTTATCAGTGTTTATACTTCATTTTTAAAGATTTGTTTTGAGAGATACTTTAAACCTCTTTTGTTGGCCACCAGCATTACGCTTTCCATTTTTAAGTTCGGAATAGAGTAGTTGCTTTGGAAGACGATAATCAGGCATCTGAACAACATGACCAGTCCAACGAAGTTGATGTTGAAGAATCATTGCTTCAGCACTGGTGATCTTTGCTTCTTCCAGTACACTGGCATTAGTTCGTCTGCCTTCCCAAGCGATGTGTAAATTTTTTTGGAGACACTTCAACATATACTTCAGCATTGGTCTAGGCATGGGGCAAAATGTGGATATTAATGCTTTAATATTTAAATGCCATGGTTTATACCACTTGTGCTTATTGTCCACGGATAATAAATCATCCCCCATGTAGATCGAATAATCATGCTTAACTTAAACAAACCACAATGGGCGACAAACAAAGCAGATATACTCAAGAAATGCAAGTCGCTTGAGGTGACTTTCTCAACAAGCTAAGAAGCTAAATGGGAAGACTGCACCCCACGCAACACCCTGTGGAATTTTACTCAGACGTATCTCCATGTCACCAATCATCCTGTCTGTGGTACTACTTTATTACTCATAGTTGTCTGTAGCCATTATCCAGTGGAACATCTAATCCTAAATACGTTTGCCAATTCATATGTCTGTGACATTTGTGGAATCTCTCTACGGTATCTTATTATCTTAAGTTTTAAATACCACACTTGTTGCTAGCCAACCTTTTTTTGGTAAAGAGATGCTGTCACCCTCTTGAAACAAACAATACGTTTGAAAACAAAATATATCTTCCAAAAGTAAAATATAAAGTAATACAATGGTCTCAAGCTGGTTCATGGATAATGTCTTTGGGGACAGGCTCACCTTTAGGAACTTGATTCTCTGTTCAGCTTCAATAGAGCAACTGAAATATTGGGAAATAGTTATTCTTTAGTCACCATGGGACGTTTGTTTTAATTGCTAATCATTGCCAGAAGTAGTTGTGAAGCTCAGCTTGCATTGTAAAGAGCAGTCCTGCTTTGTGTTTAGAGTGTTTTATTGAGAACCAGGAGGAAAAGTAAAAGACCTGGAATGGTATTGCTCAGTATTGTGTATAATGCTGAATTTCTATTTTGATGTCTTTCAACAGTGGGGTGTAAATAAATCAAAAAGATGTGACCTTCCTTTTGCCAATGCATTGTAAAAAAAAGCGGGGGGGATGGTCCCAGTTGTTCATATATTAAGAATGCCAGAAAGAAATTTTTTACTAGGTTGTGTAGGCCTGGCTACTGTAGTCACTGGAACTAAAGTATGCAGTTCCACCCACTTTAAAGCACAATAATTTTATTTCAGTGAAATTTGGGATTGGTAAACTTCCTTTGTGTTGCACCCAATGACTTTTCTCCTGATAGTGATTATATTAAACCATCTGGCATATTTGAGTCAGGAAACGGAAACCAGATTAGAGAAAAATGTAAACATTAATCAAAGTTGGATCTGAGATGAATTTCATACTACTCAATGCATATTTTCCTTGTATTTATGTGCTGTGAAATCAGACATAATTAATCAAGAAGCCATTGGGTTTTTCAAAGCTTCACACTGCAGCTTGGTTTTATCTGTAGCCCAAATACATGGTAATGAAGAAGACACAATTATTGTAATGAATCTGATTTAACACATACATACTGCACATACAAATATGAGCAACCAAACTAAGGTTTCTTGAACAAGGTGTGTTTGAAAAGAAGTTGTGTGGGTGTGATAAATACTTTCAAGGAGCCTGAGGTTTGGGACAGGGAGGTTAATGAGAGGCCAGAATGACTATAAATGTTCCAAGTTGCCAGGCACATCTGTTGTTAAAGACGTTACTGGTAAATGGCCTAAAATGGCTAGGAAATAGATACCTCTCTGAAATGTGAGAGCCAGTTTTAGCAGAAAGCAAGTCTTTCTCCCCCACTCTCCCTGAAACAGAAACACAAATTGCAGTTTTGAGTGGGGCAGAGAGATAGGACCAGCCTTGAACTCTGGAAAGCACCCTTTTGGGGACTGCCTCATTCTGCAGAACCGACAAAGGGCAATAAATTTTGCTGTTTGTGGTAGATAAGCTGCGCCTCCACCAAAGCTCAACCTCTGAAAGGAAATAAAAACCAGCCAAATTTAGTACAATTCAGAGAGGCGAAGCACATGTAACAATACAATTAGACAGTTTGTGGGAGATGCGTCTAGTGGGCATGCTATAATTTGGCATAGGAACTGCAATGGGAACTTAGCCAAACTGTCTGATAAGGAAACAACCTGTGGAACTCCATTTTAACCTGGTTCCATTTCCAGATATATAAAGATTCAGAAAGCAGCATAACAAAATGCAAATGGTTAAGAACAGAGGTGGATGTTATTGGTCTCCAACCATATCTTCTTTGATTATTTGCCATATTGGCTGAGGTTCATGGGAGTCTCAACAGCACCTGGGAGGGCTACATGTTCCCCACCTCAGAATTCAACAGACTGAAAAGATAATTTAGCTCATGCTTGGCTGTACAGAAGCTTTACAAGATACTAATCCATAAAATGCCTATTAGTGCTCATATTCAGGGACAAATAACACAGCACAACAGTTTAAATCTGAATTCATGTCAAACATATAGAAGAACTATGCTTTGCGCCATCAAAACCCTAATATTATTGGAGCTTACAGCCTCCACTTCTCACTTCCTGCCCATGTCTCATCAAACATTCTGCTCTGAACCGCAGAAACCAGAAACAAAAATCCCAAAGTTAGATGAGCACTTCCTGGTCTCCATGGCAACCATCTGCAGTTTTGCATGCTTAAATACTAGTTCTCTTTGCCTTTTTTTCCGTGAAGCAAAGCAATATTTCTGCAAATACTTTGCTGCTGCAGTCACTTTGATGTGCCTACACATCTCTTAATTACATGGTGCACTAAGTTTTAAAATATAAAATGGTAGCCTGTCTGAGTGTGAAACCTGCTGGTTCTGTACTTAAAAAGAAAATAAAACACAGAAGGAAAAATAACCCTCATTATTATTAACATTCAACATTCGTCATAGAGAAGCAATGTTTGCATATACTTATTTCAAGTAACGGATGTAAAGCCAGGCTGTTGTGAATGATTAGCTGTGTGTGGTTATGTTAGCAGGGATGAAAAAGACTCTTTGGCTCTTACATTTGAGCCCTTGGTTTCTGAAAGTCACATGGCAATTTCCTAAACAAATATCACTTCTTTGTGGGAAAGTTGGGTGTACTGTATCTGTTCCCCCACGTCTGCATGCACTGAATAGCCACACAGTTGTGGCTTCGGGCCATTGTCCCTTACCCATGATGAAAAGGAGGCCTTAAACATGTTGCTTTATGCAAACTAGATGCCATTTTCCCACATGGAAGGTGATATCCATTTAGAGTATCATCATATGGGAAGTGTCTTTAAACAAGGCACAGAAATCTCTCTGAAAGAGAGAGTCTCAGGTGTTGGACAACAGGAACCGGATAAGCGTGCTGCTTAAATGCCTTGTTGATCGTGCACTTGTAGTCAGCGCAGATTCTCACCAACCCGTCTGGCTTGACAGGCGTGACGATGGGGGTTTCCCACTTGGCGTGGTCAACCGGCTCCAAAACTCCTTGGGCGACCAGCTTGTCCAGTTGTTCGTCCACCTTAGCCTTGAGAGCAAAGGGAGCCCGGCGTGGCTTTAGCTTGATGGATCAAGGCTAAAGGAGATGGGCGTACCTGTATATTGCCCCAAAGTGCCGTCAAAAACCTTGGCAAAGTCTTTGACCAGACTCTCAGTCTCTGCGTTAGAGATGCAGTTGATGCCGGTGACTTCCAGGCCGAGGGCATCAAACCAGTCTAGCCCTAGGAGGCTTGGCCGCTGACCTTCGACCACCACCAGCTGGAGCAGGCCCGAAAAATCCTTGAAGGCGATCCGGAACCAGCCAACGCCTACCACGGGAATGTCGTTTCCCTGGTAGTCTCTCAGGTGTACGCGGTGAGAGTCGAGTTGCCTTTTGGACACTCTGGGTACCAGTCTTTTGATGGTGCTGCAAGACACGATGGACAGGGCAGACCCGGTGTTGATCTCCATGTCACATGGAGCTCCTTCAATGAGCACCGTGAAGTTCAGCTTGCGTCGCGTAGGCGAGTCAGTTTGGCCAATCGTGGTTCCAGACGGGCAGCGGCAGTTGGTGAGAGCGAAACAGCTTTCCTTGGCAGACTGGAGTGAAGACTTGGACTTGCGAGTCGGTGAAGGGGGGGTGTCAGATGGAGCCGATCGGCAGACCTTAGCGATGTGGCCCCTTCTGGAACACGTCCGACAGATGGCGTCTCTGAATCGACACTTGGCACGGGAATGGTTGCCTCCACAGCCGGCACATTCTGGTTGGCCCTTGGACTTCTGTTGGAACTTCCTGCGCTCCCGCTTTGTCTGGTGCACGTCATTGTCTTCACTGGAGGATGCCTCATCACTGCTGACCTCTTCGTGATGCACTGGATCTGGCTTCCTAGCAAGACGCGGGCTGCTGGCCTTGCGGATCTCCTGGGCGTTCAGCAGCTTCTGAGGCCACAGCCTCTTCAATGGCTTTCTGTAGCGTGAGGTCTGGCTTGGCGAGGAGATGCCATTGCAGATGGATGTCCCGGACCCTGCAGACGATTCGATCCATCAGGGCATCGTCTAAGTCTCGGAACTCGCAGTGCATTGCAGCCTGTCTGAGGGCAGTGGTGTAGTTGCTGATTGACTCCCCCTCTGCCTGGTTCCGGTGGTAAAACGCATGGCGGGCAGCAATCTTGGACGGCTTTGGCGCGTAGTGGTTGCGGAGCTTCTCTTGGATCGTGTCCCATGGTGTTGCCTGGACTGCTTCAGACGCAACCAATGCTCGGGCTGTCTCAAACACCTCAGGCCCACAGAGGCTGAGGAATAGGCCCCACTTCCGTTCATTTGATACTGATGTCAGCTCGTTGGCTTGGAGGTAGCAGTCGAACCGAGCGAGGTAGGAGTCCCACGATTCAGAGGCTGGCGCAAACGGCGGTAGAGGCACAAGTGAAGCCATGATTCCGATGCCGGCGTGAAGGGCGATGGATGGAACACAGTGCTCTAGCCAGAACAGTCAGCTCTGAATTGGTTCTGTCCAGTGATTTCGCTCAGTGATTTCGCTCTGTGATTCAGCTCAGTGATTCAGCTCAGTTCAGAGGATGGCCACATCTGGCTGTGCTCTGATGTCCATCGATCCCATCCTCATCGCCAGTGTTAAGTTGTGGGTTGACATAGCAGACGACACAGCGATTTCTCCAAGCAGCTCTTTATTTTGTAAGCTGGAACAGAACTAAACTGAGGAGCTCAGTCGGCCTGCTTATATAGAGCTCCAGAACAATGTAACTGTTGCCATTTTCTAAAACTATCCAATCACTGAACGTCACTTTTCGATCCTTCATTTGCATAACTATCTACAGTATCCCCCTGCTGGCCCAGGGTGAGAACTTCAGTACATAACAGTCGCTTGGAAAGGATTCAAATGTGTATACTTCAGCCTAAACTGCAGCTTTTCCTGAAGAAAAATAGTGGCCAAGTGACAAAGAACGGAAAATCATCAGAGGTGTTGACAGAAGTCTAAAATATTGTATAAGATGAGAAGATATGTTGTATGACTGTTGGAACTGATATGTTAAAAAAATCAATAAAAATGTATATAAAAAAAGAAAAATAGAAAAATAGTGGCCATTGGGAAGCTTATTGTAGTAGCATTTATAGGGTTGCTTAACAATCTCCCCAGCAGCCATTTTTCCTATTCAGCTTGCAATTTCAAGCCATTGGTCAGGTGGAAACAAAGATCCAATTGTTTCCTGGTTCTGCCAGGAGTGGGGCTTTTCAAATCTGTGTAGGGAAGGAACTAATGGAAGGCAGGTTTCTTCTCTAGGTGAGGGCAGAATCACTGATAATTCTCCATCTTGCTTCTGTCATATCCTGCCACAGTAGTTGCCAGCAAGCATCAGAAACACAGAGGGAGAAGAACAAGGAATGTGGCTCATGGAGGACAGAGAGATAATTGTTTCTGAGAAAAACTAGAGTTGTGGCCTGACTTCAACCATCTGGTGGACATAGAGTTTTGTTGCTACTGTCCTCAGAGCTAAAAGCTTTTGCTCTGTGTTAGGACTGAAATGTGAATCCGTTGCAAATTTCACTTCCAGTTCAGATAGACCAGGGGTGTCAAACTCAAATTCATCGGGGGCCGCACCAGCAGTTTGGTCACCCTCAAAGGGCCGGTTGTATCTGTAGGACTATGTGTCCACTCTTTATTATCATAAATTATTGTCACTGCATTCAATTATTACTGTTTTTTGTAATAATGTAAGTAATAACTAGCTCTGAAAGCAGAAACATAGAATAATGGCAAGTAGATATTCAAATGTACAGTGCGCTCAATATAAAAACAAGTGCATGCGCTCAATAAAAACAATGCACTCAATAGAAAAACAAGTGGAGGTTTCCTGAATGCATGTAAAGTGGAGGTTTCCTGTGTAGAACGGCCGGCGCCGCTAGAGGGCAGACGTTCTCTGGCTTGTAGGCTGCCGCGCATGCGCTGAAGAGGCGGCTTTCTTGTGTTAAAAAAAGAAGAAGCAAGAATAAAAGGTGAAAGGTGAAGGCTGGCAGCCGGCAGCGGCTACACGGGCCACATGACAGGCCTGGCGGCCAGATTCGGCCCGCGGGCCTTGTGTTTGACACCCATGAGATAGACCCTCAGTAGGAAGTGCAGCAAAATCCCTGCTTCATTCTTTGTAAGGGATTGTTGCCACCACTTTGCCCAGTTCCCCTTCTTTATCAGCCGTGGGGCCTACAGCTGACTAGCAATGATCTTACAGGGCGTTCTGCTGAAGAGGTTACAGGATACAAGGCAGATAGAAGAAAAAGAAGACAGGCAAGGGCTTGGCTACGAAGGCTTGTGCTTGTGGATTAACGATCTCCATGATCTTTAAAATGTGAAACATGCTCAGGGGCATTTCATGGTTTCATGCTGAATCACCAAAGTCTTATGGGCTGGCCGAGATTAATGATTAGGACAATTACAGCTTGTTGTGCGAGTTTTGCCTCTCTTAAGAGCCATTATTAAACAATATTGGCTTCCAGCTATGGAACATCACATGGTGTCAGGAAAACAACATTGCCATGCCAGTGCCTGCCAGCTATGAAGGACAAAGGAAGAAGAAAATAGCTGAGGCCCAATTTCTGATTGCATTGCAAATGGGATGGAATACTTAGGCAACACGAGTCCATCATGCTTAATGGATCAGCAACGGACACCATTTAAGAGCACTTCTCTCAGATCACATTTGAGAGGACTTCCCTTAGGATTTCCACTAGTCCCTACTCTTATCCCCTTAACATTAGCTTTCTCTGCAGACATTAGCAGGTGATATTTCCATGCTGTGAAAAGCATTACCCGCTCCCTACCTCTACTATAGTCTGTCTTTCTTATTAGGGAAGGAGAATATTTAGGATGGTGCTAAGGGCCTTAGAAGGACACCATTTACCTCCTGTATGTTTGGTTACACTATATTTTCTGACACAATGGTTTATTTGATATAAAGCCAAATTATTGGAGAAGGGCTCTAGTATTAATACTGAGAATGTAGTCAGGAATTAAGCCACGATTTAAAAAAAAAAACATTCCAGAGAGAGAGAGAGAGAGAGAGAGAGAGAGAATCTGAGTTCCTCTCCCTCATACTATGACTGGTTTATGCCACTTGCAACCTGTGCAGCAACACTTTGCAGAATTCCAGCTAAAGGAATGCTTGACAAAAGTTGTGGACAACTGCAAATTTGGCACATGAACTAGTCTTTGCTAATTGTGACTTTACTAATTGGTGAAGCCCAAGTAGAGATTTATGCATTTATTTGTTCCTTGGTACACTTGACAAGGCTAGTGTTGCCTTGGAAAGGGGGAAAAATAAACTTAAAGAATGTTGGGTAAGAATGCCCCACTTGCTCCCATGTTGGAATCCAAGCACAGTTGACATTCTGCTTGTGGAAGATGTATCCTTTGCACTTGCAAGTGCTAGTTCTCCTCATTAAATAGTGAGCGTTCCATGCTTACAAAATCCTCATAACCCACCTTTGCATTTCAAACTAATACTTATTTCAAACTTGAATGTAGATACGAACCTTGAACATTTCCTCTCCTCTTGACATGTTCTGTTCAGCTAGTTTTTCTGAGGAAAAAAAAAAAGCATTTTGAACCAATGCCAGTCCTTAGAGAAGGTTTATGCTAATGTAAATAGATATGTTTCAGATTAGATAGAAGGTATTATCAAGAGGAAACTAACTCAAACATGCTCCTGTCATGGAAAACTTCATTTGTAACATGAAAGAACTACTTATCATTTCCAAGGCCCTTTTGTACAGTGCTGCCCACCAAATTCTGAGATACGTCTTGAGTGTAAGGTCAAAAACGTAAAATCTCCTCTGCTCCTTCCAGAATTGTATGGTTTGCTTAAAGTGCTTTTGGTTAAATAAATGGTTCAGTAATGCCAATAAAATTTTTACTAGGATTTTGAAACAGCCAAACATCTGATATGGTATTTAAAATGTAATGGCCAGTGTCATTGGGTAATCAGTTCTTTGTTTTGCTCTAATTCACAGATTTGAATATAAGTTGCAGATATGCAGGTGTTTTCCACGTTGAGAAAAACCGCCGTTATAGCCTTTCAAGAGAAGAGGCCATTGAGCTTTGTAAAGCTCTCAACAGCACCCTTCCAACATGGGACCAGATGCAGAAAGCTTATGACCAAGGATTTGAAACCTGCAGGTAGGAAATCTACAGGTGTACTTTCAAAAAGTTTTGGATAGTTTGTTTTTGGGAATTGAAGTCCAGTAACATCTGGAGCAACACCGGTTCCCCACCCCCTGCCTTAGAACAAGCCTGTAAAATAGAACAGCATAGTAATCCCATATCTCTCATTCAGCCCTAAGGGTTACATGTGCGAAAATTGTGTATAGTCAAACACTTGGAGCTGCCACACGGCAAGCAGGTCAGGGGGAGAGAGAGAATATCTCCAGCACTCTCAGAGCTGGTGTGCTGAGGGGGCCTTGCCCAGCAAGCCAGGTGGAGCACTTTAAAGTTCTTTTTGCACCAGGTCCACTTGGCTTACCCAGCATGAAAAGAGCTTTTAAGCGCTCAACTGTGCTTGTGGGGCAATGCCTGCTCAGTGCAATGGTTCTAGAAGGCTAGGGATGCTCCTGCGAGATCTCACTGAGCATCCCATAGCATGCTGAACAGGTGTGGCCCAGCAAGCAAGGTGGAGAGCTTATGAGCTCTTTTTGCACTCCGTAACTCCAAGCAGACTCAGCATGAAAATAGCTCTCAAGCTCTCTTCCGCCTTGCTTGGGGACTTGGGCAATTTCAATCAGCCTGCCTTCAACTGCATATAGCTGAAATTTCACAGGTCAGATGCACGTAAGATGCGGGATTAATGTAGCATTACCCCATGTCAGATGGAGAGACTGAGAGAATAATGTTTTGTTTGCCTTAAGGCCACCTAGGCAGTACCCAGCCAAGGCAAGATTTGAGCGAGACTTCCCATCTCCTGCTGCTAATTACCCTGTTAGTCACTTTGCTGTGCCAGATATCATCATCAGCATTGCGTATAAGTACAATAAATATTTACCAACATTCTTGCCCACCTGCAGAGATGTACATGCCACAGGGCAGCTTACGCATTGATCTGGTAGTTGGGTTGTCTGGAAGGAATTGTTACTTACCTTGGGCAACTACATGGAAGCAGAACCGCAGCCTAAGGGCAACATATGCCTCATTAACTTAACATATTAAATTAGCTTAGGCCATGTGTGTGGCACCATTACTAATAATTAAATTTTATGAACATGCAACCGAGGGAAAGCAAATTGATAAAGCACCACCTTCTTGTCTATAACACAACCACCTAAGTACTCCTAAGTCCATTCTGTCAAAAGGTTTAACTGCTTTGCTTTTGCATCTTTATGATGTGAATTTTATTGCTGGTTTGTGAGCTACACAGTGCTTGGACTTGTGTAAGAGTACTTTCAAAATGCACGGAGTAAAGGCAAATTCATTGGTATGGAAAGTAATCAGCCTAATTAGCATGGTAAGTAATTAGATTAGTTAGTTTCTGATGGTGCAATTGTTCAAAAATATTTAACTGTGTATGGAATAAATGTCAAGCAGAGTTATTAATAGTTGCATAGTCTCCAGGAAGCATTAGCAAAAGGTCTTCACAGTCTTGTTTTCCCTAAGGGCCTGAGTTGCATTATTATTTTGCAGGGTATGGGATATAAATTAATGGGATAAACAGAATTATATTAGAAAAATATGAAGGAACCATCTTATCTAAAATAATGGTCAATGAAGTTATAGAAAAGTCTCTTCAGGCGCAATTGGCAAAATTCTTCTTCTTCTTTTTAATGCAGTGTTCTGGCTTTCTCCTACCCACCACCCCAAGCTGGGAGGTGTGGGGGAAAGCCCTGTTGTGTAAGTCCTCATGCAGACTTCCGCTAGCAGGACTCATTAGTTGAATCCTGCCCAAGGAACAAAAATGATTTAACTAATTCTTCCCAAGCCCATCCTTCCCAAGGGGCTCTGGAAAGGTTATGGCAATTCTAGATAGGGCCGGGATTGTGTGCCTTCTTGCAGTAATGGCAGTGGTGAGACTATCTACCCAGTAGATATTTTTTCCTATCTTTAAAGTATTCAAACAGAACGCATGTTCTCTTAGATCACAGCCACATGTAGTAAGGATGAGACGGAACCTTAAAGATCCTTCTAAATTTCACAACTTGGGAGACGGAGAGAGTCTTTCCATAATGGACAGCTGAATATCCCATATTATGATTTATTTTCTTATGCAAGGGGTTTAAAAGATTAGTATGGTGCCTAGGCTTGTTACAGAGGATGAGACGGATCAAGGTTGCTTTGTACATACCATGGTAACAATCCTGGCAACTCTGTCACATCAGACATGCATTGGCTCTGAAGAAACAGGTTCTGGTTTGGTAGATAGTGTTGTTGGACCCAGATTGGCAGCAGCATGTTTTGCCAATGTTTTGCAATGTAGTGACCTTAATAGTACAGTGGAAATAGTTATGAACAAGAATTATTCATGTTTCTAAGCCCCATACCGTGGCTCAGTGAGGAAATTGGGACCTAACTGTTGTGTTCAAGTTCCACAACTGGAAGGGGAAAGGCTCCCAAAACTGTGTGTTGCATGATATTACCTTAAGCCTTGCTAGTTTATGGGAGATGATTTCTGAATATTTAATGCAATGAGTGTCTAAGGAAGATCCTAATTCAGGTCATAATGAAAGGGTGTCGGGTGAAACAAGAAGAGACTGGTCAAGGGGGGCGGGGGGAATCAGAGCTTCTGCACCTTTTGTGGAGCAGGGAATTTCCACAGGTTTTAAGGCAACGCATTAGAGAAGCCCGGTCATATTTTGCAGGAAACTAGTGCCACAATGCCAGTGTCCCTGTGCATTCATCTGAAAAGGGCTTCACTTTCTGCTTGAGTTGATCTGTTACTAAAAAGCCATTGCTATAGTACAGTGGCTTTACTGTACACCTCGGAACAAAAGAAATAACACTTTAACAGCCTGATTCTACACACATTTACTTGGCAATCAGTCCCAGGTTGACAGGGATCACATTAATGGAGTATAATTTTCTGCACCTCCATCCTGAGCCAGAAGGTTGTATCCAGCACTGCATGAACAGCATTCCACTCATGAAATAAGACATTTTATTCTTCTCCTGTCTCTGCACACCCCTCAAAATCAGTGCTAGCTGCTACACAACCTCTCTTTGAGGTTGTGCAGTGGACTGCAGAGGAGGGTGGGGAAGTCTGTTGCACTAGTGGGTGATAGTTGCACAAATGGAACAGCAGTATTCTATACAAGCCAGAGTTTCAGCAGCGGCTACCTTAGGGCCTGTCCAAATTTCTGCTTGTGCCTCTGCTTTCCCCCAAGGAAAACCCACTCTTTACCGCTCAACTGGATCAAACGCTGATTAGGTTTTACACAGGTTGATGCTTGCCTACAATTCAGCAGGTTTCAAATGGAAAACCTTTAGGACCTGTGCTTTCTATGCAGAGAGTAAGCGGAAGTGTAGATGAGTCCTTAGCTGTCTCTCCCCAATCAAAAGCCATTTTTAAAAGGGGGGGGGGGTGCAGAGATGTTGATTAACTTTCAATAAACCTTTTCGGCAAAGAAGATTTAAAGGAAATCGGTACTAAATGTACTAGAAACTCAGGATAGTACTGCAAAATAACCTTCATTTGTTACATAATTTTATTAACCACATGTTCCACTGAAACATTCATTGAATCAGTTTATGGAGTTCCATATATGCTGGAAAGCCCTATGCTCAGTACAGAACAGCAAGGGGACGTTACTTATTTTAGCCAGCATTCCATGTGTAGATTATTGCTACATTTCAACATTTTATTGAAGCTTTGCAAAGTTTAGAGCATGGTATGTTTTTCATCATCCTTGCTTCTCCTTCACTGTTGTGCTCTGCCCTTTTTTGCAATAACCCCGTCAGTTTCTTCTGCTGGTAAGTTAGGAAAATATAGAGACTGGGTTAATGGAACACAGACCGGAAAGAGATTGCTTATAGCTCCCTAGTATAACCCTTTGTGTAAATATGGGGCCATTCACCCTTTAATATTTTATCCCCACCCACCACAGTGACATCTGGAATTCAGAACACAGCAGCTTGCACAGCAAATAGCTTTAGATGCCCCAAGACAGTGGGCCTGCCAATTGTGCTGCAGGAAAATTCCTTCCCTTTCCAAATCCAATGTCCTAATGTCATTCCTAATGACCAGTACACACCTGACAAATAATTTATATTATTGTTACATCCAAGTAATCAGTGACGCCACCTAATAATGAATCAAGCCTTTAGTCTATCTAGCTCAGTACTTTCAGTAGCACCTTAGAGACCAACTAAATTTGTTATGGGTATGGAGCTTTCATGTGCATGCACACTTCTTCAGATACAGTGTGCATGCACACGAAAGCTCATACCCATAACAAACTTAGTTAGTCTCTAAGGTGCTACTGGAAGGAATTTTTTTATTTTGTTTCGACTACAGCAGACCAACACGGCTACCTACCTATGACTAGCTCAGTACTGTCAAAGCTGTGTGCAGTTGCTTTCTAGAATTTCAGATAGCACTGTTTCTCAACCCTGTTACCTGGGATTTTTATTTTAAACAAGAGATATCAGAAGTACATGGAGTCAGAGGCCTGCATGTTCTCTCTTACTCAAATATTGTCCCTTCCATTTCCTACAATGAGCATTTCTATTTAAAAAATAAAACAAAAGCAAAACATCTGGAACCCATTGTAGTGTATACATATTCAATACAGCAATATTAAGAATAACAATAATATGTCCCATCTGCTGCTACACCTGCTGTCTCTAGAAGAGCAGAGTTTCTGGGACTCTAACTTGGACCTTCCAAAGCATTTTCCCAAATGGTTTAATCCACTGCAGTACTATAGTGCCATAATTGTTCTATAATTCATTTAAAATATCTAGTAGAATGCAGGATGGATCATGGCTTGAAAGATACACACACACACACACACATCAATTATGTGGACAGAATCAGAGTCAGTCTTCAGTAGTTGTAGTAGTATTTATATGCTGCCCATCTGACTGAGTTGCCCCAGCTACTCTGAGCGCCTTCCAACAAATTATAAAACCACAGTAAAGCATCAAGCTTTAAAAACTTCCCCATACAGGGCTGCCTTCAGATGTCTTCTAAACATCAGATAGTTGTTTATTTCCTTGACATCTGATGGGAGGTCATTCCACAGGGTGGGCGCCACTACCGAGAAGGCCCTCTGCCTGGTTCCGTGTAGTTTCACTTCTCAAAGTGAGGGAACTGTCAAAATGTCCTCAGAGCTAGATCTCAGTGTCTGGGCTGAATGATGGGGGGAAAGACGCTCCTTCAGTTTGGTTGATGTGGTTCCTTCACAGATGCTTTGTGGTAGTATACAATTCTGTGTACATTGGTTATTTACCTAGATGCATCAATATGTTTATGCCTCTTTTTCCTAGATATGGTTATATAGAAGAAAAAATTGTAGTTCCTCGACACACCCCTTATGCACTCTGCGCAGCAAACCACACTGGGATATACGTACTTTCGTCAAATATATCCGACAAATATGATACATATTGCTTCAATTCATCAGGTATGTTTGGGTTTGTTCACATGCTTCCTAACAGAGATATTTTGCTGCCGCACATGCTATGTCTCAGTTTGTTGAAATAAATGTTATATCTTACAAAGCGGAATATGCAGGAGACATATGCTAAAAACAGATTTTTTGGGCATGCCTGCATAACTGCTGACACACCAAGTTGAACATATTCAACCAGTCATCATATATTTCGGCCCAACCCCTCCCCACTTTTTTGCAATTTCCAGCAGGCAACAAAAAACCCAGTATGCAGATCAGATATGTAGAGGCCTCCTCATGCATTTGGTGTACTTCTCCACAAAAATTGCTCTAAAAATTGGACTCTACCCACTGCAAACCTCAATAAATGGCTCAGGCCTCAGTGTACAGCTGTCGCCATCATATCCCATTTGGCTAATGAAGTCTGGTGGATTTAGGCAACTGGGGCAGGATCTCAGTGTCCTGAGAAATAAACATTTGCATTGCGGTCCAGATGGGGCTGATATGTCCTAAGAAGCTGACATGTGGCTGAACGGTGAGAGTCCTATCCCTTCGTCCCTCCCCACAAAATTAAATTTTTGGATGATGCTGGCTTAAAAAGCAGGAAAGGTCTAACTACAACATTCTTGAGTGTGTGGGGCAGTTAGGAAGGAGATGATGCTTCTGATCCACACAAACAGTTACAGGCCATACAAATTTTGAACTGCTGTCAAGTTTTTAAGGATTTATCCTTAAAATGATTTTAAGGATTTATCTGCTGTTCTAATTATCTGCTGTTCTAATTATGCATCCCAGCTTCTATTTTTTAACAGAAGCTCACACTTAGCATGATTACAATCTGCATTTGTATTGGCATTGTTTTAAATACGTTTTATTACTTGTTTGTCAGCTTCTGTGGTAGGAAAAGTGGGATATAAATTTAGTAAGTAAATGAATGAATGTAGTATGTATGCCAATTCCAAATTCAAGACCCTAAACCTACAGGTGTGGAAGACTTACTTTTGTCCATGGGATGGTTGAGTTCTCAGCTGAAACCTGTTGCATAGCCACCGCTTTAGTGTCAGTTCTCATTTCCTTTGTTGCTTCTAACAAAAATTAACCAGATAATATTTTGCTCTCCCCTTTGTAGAATCAAGGGACATAGTTTGTGACCCCGTCATAAAGTTATACTCCATTTGGCCTGATGAAGATAGCAAAATAGGTAAGAGCTGAATTTCATACATTTTTGTGTTGAGCTATATTTTGCAGGCTCTGAAACAAACCTTTGCAAACATTTAATGTGCCATAAGAAAGCATATTCAGAAAATGTGTATAGAGTTTTGTATACATTTTAGAATAGAATAACCTCCTATAGGTATTTAGTATAATCTAGTACAACTTCATGGTATAATCATCTGCCTGATTTTTAAACTATTTATTTTCCATTTATCTGCTAGAATTAGGCCTTATAAGATCATTCGGAGGTGATAAAAATCAGCCATATTATTATCAAATTAAATAAGTGAGACCCTGCAGCAAAATTTTGTGTGTATAGGTGTTTCTGCCCTCTAACTTCTCTCCCACTGACTATTTCTTGGCTTAGAGCCTTTGAAACACATGCATTAATCTCCATGTTCTTTTTGGTACATTACAAGAAGCATTTGTGCATCTTCTTCCTTGATGGATGTTTATTTTAACACACATTGCCTGCCTTGGTTGAATCCAGAACACATTGTCAGACTTGAATAAGTCACTGTATTGGATAGTTTATCAAACATACTGATTATCCTGTCAACAGTACAATGAAGTAGATTGTTACAGGCGGCAGACAGTTCTTGAATGTAATATTCACGACACAATAATTGTTTTAATATAGCTAAATAACTATCAAACTGTCTATCAAAAGCACTGAAGATTAGAAAGAAATAGTTTCAAGTTGTAGCAAAGCACATTTAGATTGGCCATTGTACAACGAGCAGAACAACTGGAAAATGAAGGAGCGTGTAACACCTCTTCCCCTGCAATCCTTTAAATGATAATCTGTCATGGATAGTTCAAGCCTAGCAAACTGTTCTCCAAAGGATTTTGCTACATGCTCCTTCTAACCTATTGGCTTTATGAGTCTCCTGCAAAAAGTAAGCACCATAGGGAAGTCTGCAGGTGCATGGCCTTCTGTATTGTACTTTGTTGGAAAACATTTTACTATCCTAGCAGCAAATGCCATTGCATAGACAGTGCATGACACAATTCAGAGTACAAAAAAGTTCCCACAGGGCAGAGTGCCTTAAGTGCACGATAAAACCTTTCCTACTCCCAGGAGGGAAGGGGTTGTGAGCGGGAGACGATTCCTGCGTCATGCAGGGGGCGCTCCGCCCCCTGCTTCAATTCCAGGGCTGGCGCCACGCCCCTCCCCGATTGGGCACCCAATAGGGAAGCTCAACAGGGGCGTGGCTTGCAGCTCAAACGCAGCCGCGCCAGCCATCCCCACCATTGCACACACATTTTCTTCGAGTCACCCACCCTCCACTCCCTTTAGCTGTTCCTGAGACTTTGCTATGGACCTCTGGTTGGTCGCCCTGTTTAACCAGGGGGCCTGGTAGGAGTTTTTTCCAATTGGCTAAATTGGCCCGGCCTCTTGGTTTTTTTTCGCCTACCTCGTAGCAACCGTCACAGCTTTCGTGGTATTTGGCGGTTAGGCATTGGAATGTGTTGTTGGTGTTTCGGGGGGCAAGGTGTGCCCATCGCCTTCCCCAACAATTTTGGGTATTCCGCTAAAGGATTCCGGTGGTCGTGGATCCTGTCCGATGCCCGTGTGGCAGGAGGTCATGGCACGACCCTCGGTGACATCAGGAAGAGAGCCTATAGTTGGATTAGCATCAACAAGTTTCCCCTACTGGTGGTTAACCCCTCCTCAGACTCACCCCTCTACGAGTGGGTGGAGTCTAATGTTCCGCGGTCCAATGCCTAAGCCAATACCTTCTCACATGCTGTAATCAATAAAGTTGTGGCCTTTACCTTACCCATTAACCTTACATTCTGTGTCCACGTGTCTTTATTCCCCAAGCGGGGATCGGGTCCTCGAATCACAACCACAAAATGGCTACGTTTTACGAAGAAGAGATGACTTGTACAATGTGCATCTACCGTATTTTTCGCCACATAGGACGCACTTTTTCCCCTCCAAAAATGAAGGGGAAATGTGTGTGCGTCCTATGGGGCGAATGCAGGCTTTCGCTGAAGCCTGGAGAGCGAGAGGCATCGGTGCGCACCGACCCCTCTCGCTCTCCAGGCTTCAGGAAGCTATCCGCAAGCCTTGCAAGCCCAGCGGGAGTTCCCGCGGGCTCACAAGGCTTGCGGGCAGCAGCCTGCAGCCCCGGTGAGTGTCCGCAAGCCTCGCGCGCTCGGCAGGAGGTCCCACCGAGCGCGCGAGGCTTGGGGCGGCAGCTTGTCGCCCGAAGCACGGGGAGCCCTCCGGAGGGCTCCCCGTGCTTCAGGCGAGTGTCTGCAAGCCTTGAGCGCCCGGCAGGAGGTCCCGCCGGGCGCGCGAGGCTTGGGGCGGCAGCCTGCAGCCCGAAGCACGCGGAGCCCTCCGGAGGGTGCCCCGTGCTTCGGGCAGGTGTGCGCAAGGCTTGGGGTGGCAGCCGCGGCGGGGGGGGGAATAATTTTTTTTAATTCATTCCCCCCCCCCAAAAAAACGACGTGCGTCCTATGGGCCAGTGCGCCCTATAGGACGAAAAATACGGTAACTTCTTTGTACATAAAACATTCTAAAAGTGGTCAGGAGAATATAACCACTTGTCTTCTTATACGTATGCCTATGTGGAAAGGTTTTCCTCATCATTTGGCAGGATCTTGACATTAGCCCAGTTTGGGCACAATTTTAACTGCAGTTTAGGACTATGCAAACAATCCTTAGGCTTGTACACTCCAGCTTTCTCTCTCCTCCTGTACCATGTCCATGAGGAGATTGGAAACACCCATTGCTTCTTTTTAATTAACTGCAGTTTATCATTAAGCCTAAGAAGGATAAACTGTGGTTAGTCTAAACTTAAATTGTTTTTTTAAAACAAACCAGAATCAAATCATAGTTTATCATCCTGGCTTGTTTCAGAAACCATAGTTTAGTTTGAACTAATCAGAGTTCCCGATTCAGATGTAACAATAAACACTGGTTGCCTCTTCGTAGAACAGATGGGAGTATGTAAGTGTGACACTCACTGCTGCTTAAAACAAGGTTTGAACTTGGCTCTAAGTAGTTGAAGGCACAGGTTCCGTGGTAAGTTACCACATGGGAGATAGTACTGCAACAGGACAGCTATCTTGCTGGAAATGTTCCTCTGTTCAGCTATGTTTAATTCCTTACTTCCTCTTTCCGACAGAAATATACAATCCTGATGGATCACACTATATTGATGGAGAGAGATTCACAAAACGGCCACCCATTAATGAAGATGAAAATACTGGCGGCAGTGGTTCTGCAAATGACAGATCAACGACAGATCCCAATGTTATCAGTCCGGGTATCTCGTCACATTTTCCTCATCATACAGGTATCACTGGGATTTACTATTTAAGTCATGATGTGAAAAAGTAGCAACTATCAATGAGGATAATTTCCTTCTGCCATAAACAAAAGAATATTGTAAATGATTCATCTAACATAGTGCCGATAAATTCTGAGTAGTGCCCTTGTTAGTCTATTATAGCAGAAACTAGAGTACTGCTCCAGTAATATAATGAAAAAATGCACAAAGTTGTTCGAAGAATTCATAATGAAAACAGTATGGGTGGTAGGTCACTCATTTATCCATTATGCAACTCATTTATCTATTATTACACAGATGGTGGTATTTTTACCTCAAAAGAGCCTTTTGCGGGGAAGGATGAAGATGCAACTGATGCTCCAAATACACATGATGGCCACCATGAAGGAGGACATTCTAAAGACCAGCAGCCCCAAAGTCCTAGTAAGTGTAACAATTGTATTAGGTACATTTTATGTAAACTTTCCTGTGCTTCTGGAAGAGACAAGAAGGGAAATCTGATGTGTGGTAGAAATAAGATTGAATAAGGATTAGTTTGCACAATCTTTATGTTGTGTAGTTGTGTACGTTGTTGCAGTGGTGAGCTCACAATCAGTGTTGCTCTTTGTCCCTAGTGTGGCATGTCTGATTGGTCCAGAGGCATGATATGTCTCCCTCAAAAAAGGGAAGACTGATCTCATGGTTAGTGTATGTATGCTGATCACAAATTCTACTTGTAGTGGTCGACTGTGCATGGGCCTGATACCCACTCCATGAAGCAGTGCTATGTAGAATGTACAAGTTTGCCAAATCTAGCCTCTACAAGTCTGTGTTTAAAGTTGTGATTAATTAAACTATTGCATTAATATCTCCAGTGTGCTATTGTGTCAGATGTCCAAGAGTTCTGGAAATATGCAATTAGGCTCTTCAGAAAGCTGTCTTCCATTTGTGAAAGGCATTTTTCCTTTTGATACATACTGCATGAGTATGTGGTTTTCAGTTAATTGAGGCCATACTGACAGAATGGTGCTTGAGGATCCCTTTTTTCTCAGTTGGACAATATAGAAAAACTAAAAAATACTCATTGAAAATCTGAAGGGTAGTTCTATGGCTATTTGTTTGAATTAGAAGAAGTCTAGATTCATCTGGTCATTATTATCTCTCAGGGATGGAGAGAAGCCTCAGTTTGAGATTTTGTGATCCAGGTTTTCTTGATAGGAGTTAAAAATGTTGCTTTCATCTTGGGGTTCTTTGTATGCACTTAATTTTGTGTCTCCTGAAATATATATGTGTGTGTGTGTGTGTGTGTGTGTGTGTGTGTGTGTATGAGAGAGACAGAGAGACAGAGAGACTGAATTCTCTGACCAAAGCCCAGATGATTTTGATATCTCTCTGGATCACCACTTTTCACATGAACTACTATTAAGGCATCATTTTCCTTTATTTGTATGATCATCTCAATACATGCAAGTTGGCCAGCACTGCCATTTAAATGGGCTTCTTTTGATCATTCACTGAAATGTACTTTTTAACTGCTGAACGATGTGGTTGACATTGCAACTTTCTAGATAAACCTGTTTAGGTTTACTTTGGGACTTCTTGAAGAAATAATGAGCAAGAAGGAAATTAGCTGCATCCTAGCAATAAAAATGTATTTTAATGGTCTCACACAGTAGTGTCACTAGTTATTTCCTGCTTCTTAAAATAATGTTAATTCCCCCCCCCCCTCAGTGCAAGGTAACTCCTGATGTTGAGTAAAATGTACAATTTGTACTGGTGGTGGTGACTTCCCTTCATGTAGCAATGCATAACATGGAGAAAGGCTTCACTAACAGCTGATGCTCCAGAAGCCAGGGCAAGGCATATAGGTGCTGGAAGGAAGATTGGTATTAGGGATGTGTGAAATATGTCCTGCATGCTGGGACAGCAAGAATTTGAGACCAATACCTGCAAAAGCATTGTGTTTGAATCACCAGCTTTACACTGCATGCGTATTGTCATTCATAACTGCACAATTTATATGTTTGCATCAAAATGTAAACAGCAGTACAGATTTGAACCAGTTTTGCACATCACTTGTACAGTTGCCTTCACTGGAAAATCTTGTGCAATTCACACCACAGCTCTTTCTTTTCACAGATAATAGTTGTGGGTCTGCTGCTTACATGTCATTCTAACTTGCAACAGTAGATTTGTGGAATTGGCAGCGGAGCAGAAACTTGTGAATACGTGTGCGTTTCTAATCTTGATCTCAGCTTTCTCGCTTCAAGGGTGGTCTAAGGAATTATAGCGATTGGAGATTCAAACCAGCTTTTTGAGAAATGATGGCAAGTTCATAAGCTAGATACTCCCAAACTATATAAGTTCATGAAAAGGGCAAGCTGATATAAGGAGTATTAAAGAGCCAGCCAATAAAACCACTTAGCACTAATCTAATTAGTCCACTAGCCTGGACCAAACCAACTTCTTGATTTTATAAATGTATAATTAATGGTACTTTAAAATTGCTGCAGCTGTTTGATCTAGAATTGGTTATTTATCTATTTGGTCTCTTGTTACAGTTGTCCATGTTGCACATTATCACCAGGACATCATCTGTAAAATAAATAATTGTCTTAAGTTGTTCTGAATTTTGAGGCTGAATACAACAGTGGTCTTTTCTCTGCCGTTCTGCTCTATAACTAGATCAAAGGTCATCCTGAGCCTGTTGATTTGTGCACTGGTGCAGCCAGGGGTTGGGGATCTTCCTCTTAGCTGCTTCATCCTCTTGATGCACCCCTGTTGTTTCTGGGGTTTTTTGTGTTTGCGAAACAAATTCTCCTGCCTAAGATTTCTATTTTGTCAACCAAACTGCATTCCAACCAAGCACTGAATACATTCTGTTGTATGCTTAGTATGTATTTATACCATACATTTCTGTACACTAAACTTTGGTTAGATGAAACCTTAAGTTTGGGAAGAGGCTTCAGTTGACTGCTAATCCTGCTATGCTTGTGTTGCTTCTTGGGGAATGAGCCCATCTGAAGTCTATTCCATGCTTCATTTAAGAAGAGGCTGGATGGCCATCTCTCATGGATGCCATGGTTGCAGCCTGCACTGAGCAGTGGGCTGGGCTATATTGCCTGCAATACCCCTTCCAATTTTGTCTGATTCTGTGAACCTAATAGATAATTACTGATTGCCAGATGATAATGAATGTCGCTGTACTGGAAATGGGCAATGTTACACTCTGGGTGAAGGATAAATGCCATTCCTTGCACATGCTTTGGGAACTCAAAGCTGAAAACTAAGAATTGCCATTCTTAGAATAAACATGAAAGCAACAAGCTGTCATTTGGGGAAAAAATACATGAAAGAATTTCCAGCATGAACATCTTTGCTGTATTCATTCTCACATTTTCCATTGTGCTGAAATGGAAAGATACCGCTTGGTTTGTCTTCTCACCAGTGAGATTTTTCTTTCTTCTCATTGATCTCTTCCTCTTCACCAAGGCTTTCCCCCCCTTTGGATTGCTGCTGCTTTCCCTCTTATCATTGAGAATGCTCTCCATCAGGTTTACATCTCCTCATCTCACAGAGTGATGTAAATGAATGGATGAGGAAATGATAGCGCTCTTCTCTTTCTCTGCACTGCCACAAGGAAAAGACCAAGACTCAGCACTGGAACAGAAGTAAATAACGATGGAAAATGTTCAGCAAGTAACTCCTTAAACCATCCTCATAGCAGAAGAGGGAAGATCCCACGATGGGTCCATTTGTGCTCTAGCACAAGAGCACTAAATTCCAGTTTTGCTTTTCCAGTTATGGCTAAATATTCAAATGTGTTGTGGATAAAAATGAAAATCTTTACAACCCTTTAACTTCATCACGACAGATTTAGACTCACATGAGAAGCAAGAAGATCCAACAGAAGAATACAAAACACCTGGACAAGAAGGGGATAAGTATGGCAGAAAAACTCAGCTTTCTCCTAGTATCAGTAAGCATAATTCTTTTTACTGGGAAAATGGCCTTGTAGATATTTTCTGAAGCTTACTCATACTTGCTTATTCTCCCAACATACACTTAGCCTTCACATCTTTAATTTGCACTCACATTATTCATACCATTTAGTGTGTTATTCTGGCTTCTTTTCTCTCTGTTGGTGCCCCTTTATATATTTCCCTTATTTTGGATTATGGCCAAGCTGAGGACTATTTGCCTGTGTTGTATAAACAAACAAACAAAATCAACATTAACGCCATTCAAGAACACAGGACGTGATCCTTCATTCTCTATTAAGAGGAAGTCCTGGTGATGGTGATGGAAGACAGATTAATGGAGTTAATCTGCCACAGCATATATCCAACCTGTTAGTTACTCTGCCATCATTACAGCTGGTGAAGTGTCAAACAATGAGAAGCACCCTGAAAACTCTACTCAAGTTCGACAGGTTCTTGAAGAATTCCCTTTATGGTGGCAGTCGGAGGAACACAAAGAAGTGCGCAACGCAACTTCCAGGAAGGGTAACGCCTTACAAATGTTCTAGTCAGTTTGCCACCCCCCGCTCTTAAAAATGCTTGGGCAAGAAACTCATCTTCTCAATGAGAAGTTGCTGCTAGTCTTTTGTCTGCTGTGACTGAAACCAGCATTGCAGCCGCCTCCAGCACAGTGACTGTTGTGCGTGAGCACTGGCAGTATGAGAGGATGCAGTCATGTGGTGGCCAGACATGTAGAACAGTGCACAAGTTGACCACAGGTCCTCTTTTCTCCAACCACTTGTACCACCGTGCGGAAGCACAAATCAGCATACTGTACTGCATGTAGCCACAGGAGAACTGCCAGTGGAAGCGCACAGCAATTACTATGCTGGAAGTGGTCATGTGGATTGACCTAGCAGGTTCACTGTTGTTACCTGATTGTAGCACAATGCAGCAATTCCCTCTGGCCAAGAAGGTATTAAATGCCTCAGCTTCGCATATGTGCCTGTGAAAAGGGTACGCGCATACTGAGCACACACATGCATCTTTCCTTGCAATGTGCAATATGGGATGCCTTCTGCAGCACTGTGCTCAATTCAAATATTTCTAAATAATATGGATCATTTTGAAATTGTTTTAGATATACGCAATAATGGATAAAAGTTAGTTGTGAAAATAAGAATTAGGGTAAAATCTTTGCTGTGTAAACTAGCTTTATCAGGTATCTTCCCCATGTAACTGTAGAAGAGGAACTAGTTCCATAGTCTTGCATTGTACTCTCTTCCATTTGCTTTGTCATTATTTTCAATAATTATAATTTAGTCATGGCTTTCTCCTTTCCACTTCTCCTCTTTTAGGCATCAATTAAAACTTCATAGCTATATTTTTCTGAGAACTGTCACAAAAGCCCGTTGACATGAAATCATTATCTTGTCAAAACATTCACCGCTGTAATTGCCAGTCATATTCTGAATCCAGAAAGGCACTGTTTTGGCTTTCTTCATTACTCTTAACAATTTTATTACACTGTGATACCTTAGCCTGGTATTATACTGTCGTCTGATATAACCTAGATGATTTTCACATTCACTGCATTTGCACATAACGATAAGCCATGGTTTAGGTGCACAAACCATGCACAAAGTGAAGGAAGCTTCTGTGAGTCTTGGGCATGCTTGTTTTCTACTCTCCTTCCATGTGGCAGGGAGAAGGCTTCTGGAGCATTTAGTTCCAGTTTCAAAGAATCTTAACTGATAACATATGAACCAGAGATCGTTGTAAACCAAACTCTGATCAGTTTCTGAACAAGCCAACTTCAAACCTTGAGTTATGAACCAGGCTTGTTTAAATATCCACAGCTTCTCTTAAACCACTGTCCCTGGTTCCTACATAATGGCAAACCAGGTTTCTCAGAAAATGAAAATAAATATTCTCCCTGTGATCAGAAGGAATGCACAAGCGCAAGTCTCATGGCAGCTCTTTCTTGCTCATGAATGTAGCACTAAACCATAGTCCAGCATTATTAGACAGTTCTGGCGTTACCATGGTCCAGAAAACAGTCATTATAACTAATCTTTCTGTAGCCTTTAACAAACACATAAAGCCTTGTATTTACTTCTCCCTATTTAAGGATTCTTGACCACATCAGCTTGACATTTCTCTTTAAACCAAATCAAAGTTGCAAACAGGAATAAAAAAATAGCAGCTTACTATGGCCAATTAGCAATGGGAAACAAGAGAGACAGAAAATGGGCAAATGACTTTATGGGATCCAGTTCTCTTAGTGATCTTTTGAGGACAGTTTTATGAGCAGTGCTTCTTGGCCTGACACTTTGTCCTATTTTTCTCTTATGCAAGGTTTTAACAGAGGAAACTCTAAAATCAGAAAAAATAATATAGTCAATAACGGGCAACCTTTTGCATACATACATACATACGTACAGAAAGGAATCCTCGTTCTTACCCTTCCCTGAGCTCATGGAAGGGCTTTTGATCCAGTGGTTGAGAGGAGGAAACATTTGCTGATCTCTTCCACAGTGCCCCTGAAAAACAGCTCCAGAAACTTGGGGTACCTTCCAAATCACAGTATAGGCTATTGTGGGGAATGGATTGCAGGACGAAGAGTGAATTGGGAAAAATCTTTTGCCCTCCCTGTCCATTAGCAGAGGCACCTGCTGAATCAAAAGCCTTCTGTTATCGTAAGTGCCCTGATTGGATTCCACCCATTGTAAGCACAAAAATACATATGGTAAAACTTTGGTGGGTGGGTGTGAGTAAGGGATTTGGGATTCACTAAAATGGCTTATAGATGCACCACAATTTAAATAAAGGGATTCAATACCCTCACTTAATTTTTCCTCCACTTTATTTTGCTTCCTTATTGGTTAATATTATATTTGGCTTTATTTTATCAATGTCCTGCTCTTTTTCTGTGCCCTAAGCTAACTTCTCTCTAGTGTATAAACACTTCTGATTTTGATAAATACTACAAGGTTTTCAATTCCTGTGAGAAGTCAATGCAAGAACTATAGGAACAGACCCCTCTTTCTTGAATTAAGCACCAAACGCCTAACTGTTAAGCCTCTTTCTCCCTTCCTCTTATTAATCTTATTGTTGGCAGGCAAGTTGTTTATTCAGGAAGGTGTTGATGGATAGTAGCTTAGTTGGGAAATGTTGGCTTAACAAATAAAAATATCATATCTCATTCCTCTGTTGTCTGAACAGCTGTCAGCCCTCATCACAATTCACACGAGAAAATGTCCACCAGTATTGATTTTAAGGAGGTGCATCATCCCATTGAAGGAACTTGGGGTAAAAAAATTAACTGTTAACAATCGTTTATAATTGTCTAGAATACAAACTTAATGGTAACATCAGAAGTAGTGTGTTGATTGTAGAAAACAGCCCCTAATTCCGTAAGGATTTTTCTATTCAATAAAGCCCCACTTAGTCAGAAATCTTTGGATCTGAATATACAGTTCAGACTGAATATGCATGAATATTCATTTGGACTGAATATGTATCCTCTATTGCTACATCTATGTATTGCTGAGATCCCCTGCTCTTTTAATAACTCCTCAAAGCATCCTAATATTGGGTTGCTTTGTCAATAACTTTATTTCTTCTTATCCACTGGTTGTTCTTAATGCCAGCTCCATTATTTGTGGCGGCGTGGGATGCATAAACTGAAAATTCTCTTGTCCTGTCTCTAACTTCTGTGTAACTGTCTCTTTTCTTATGGTAGCAAATTATACAGTAAGAATATAGCATTTCCACTGAGATTCTTGTCAAATCACCCATACTCAGAGCTCCAACTTTTCTCTAGTCGGATCCAAAGGATCTTGCAGTGCCTCCCAGGAGCATATCCTGGTGTATTGAGTGCCTTGTAAATGCTCTCTCTTCTCTTTATTATATCACTCACAATGCCTTGTGTGGTATTACAGTGATACAAGGCAACTGTAACCAATTCAGCCATCTTCTTGTCATGCACTGGATCACAGACAGTCTTATTGATTTGATGCCCACTGTACATTGTTGCACCGCCACCACTGGTTGATTTAGTTCCACCCAATAAATCTATTACGCATTATTAATGTCTTACTCATTATTCATCTCTAACGAGGAGCTCTGAAAACACTGCCACAAATGAGAAAGACAAGGATAAGGATGGATAATACTTACTCTGGTGATTGGGAAATGGATAATGATATTAAAAGCTTATCGTAGATTTACATAATCAAATCACTAGATAAGAGTTCTGAAGAACATCATGATGTTGTTGGTGATGATGATGATGGTGGCGATGATGATGATGGTAGCGATGATGATGATGATCATAATGGAGAAGGGTCTGGGCACTTAAATCCTGAAACCGTTCTTGAATGGAACAGCAGTGGTGATAACGAACCTCGGCCATCAAAAACCAGTAAGCATTAATTCCTGTAATGTATGCACTGCGCTATAATGAAAGTCATTAGATGTGTCTCAGTAAACAATGGGATTTTGATGTATGTGTACATATTAAGCACTCTAGAAGTAATCAATGATAATCTATAAGGAATAATTTGTACCATACATAATTCAGAAATACAACAGCATCGAATCGAAAATTAATTTATAATGTTATAATGAAATTCTGGATATAGTGGAAGATTACTGCTTAATAATAGACAACACAGAGCAAAGAAGGTTTAATTGAGTACCATGAATTATATTACTCTGCAATTTTTTCTATGCATATCCTACACTGGTATAATCCTATTGGCTTATTCTGGAAATGGAAACTTGGATGCATACTTACAAACAAAAGTCTCATTTTGTGTTTTATGCTTGAACTTCGTTTAGCTCTGAGTTGCCTTACCTCCTCTCATTGGTGTCTGTTAGGCATTTGTCCTAGGAATGCATATTATGAAACTACGCTTTCCTTGGTAAACATCCTTAAACTACTTTGGTTTCTTTTGCATTGGATTATCTCTATGATGGGGACATTGCAAAGTGTGCTGGTGCCTTCAGTTGTATTTGGAAAAGTACCATTCCTATCAGTACATTTAATCTCTAGGCTCTGACTTTTATCATTCATGTTATTTGTGCACAGGTGGTCTATGAGGTCAAATTTATTTTGCTATGGTGAGATGGTGGTTGTTTTGTGGTGGTGGTAAAAGTTATTCTTTGGGTTTAGCAACAAGCATCAAGTTATATGCTAAACTAACATATGTTGTGCATATCTTCCTGGATTATTCTTTCTCTAATTGTGGAAAATGCAATTTAGTGAAATCAGTCAAGCGGCTTGTAGTCATTTGTATCTATCAGAAGTGTAGTGGGTCTCATTGTATTGCATGGATCATGCATTTTGCTATAGTTCTTCCATAGTGAAGCAAAGCAAATCGTAAGTCAAAGAGTGCATTTCAAAGAAAAAAATTCTGTGGATCAAAACTTTTTTTTATTGTTTTCCAACATAATTTTATACAGTAGTTGGAGACATGGGTTTTGCTTGCAGATCTACTACTCTTGCAACAATTTTCAGCCAGAGTGAATATTTGCAATATAAAGAGGACATACTCCTGATTCATGGTTGTTTATTTATTCAGTATTTGATGGCATTCAGTGGACATGTGTGAACTGTCCACTGTAAAGTATTGCATTTGGTTTCAAATTGTTGTGCCTGCGATGGTGAATTTCAGAGGGTTCTCTCACACATGTAAGTTTCCACGATGCTAAAGACGAAACGACATGGATATGTGAGCTGTGCATTAAAAATACCTGTACAATATAGATGACTTGTGTTATACCCATGTGTTATACCCAAGAAATAATACCAATGTTAATTGGTTGGTGGTAGTGTGGAGTATAGTCAAATAAATATCAATTCAACTATTGTCACAACAGCTGTGGTCTCCACCAAAGATGTCAAGCATGATGACTCGGCCCATGATTCATTTCTGCATGGTGTACACTCTGAAAAAGACAGTGAAGTCAGATATTCAACAAATGGCACAAGGGAGGATGTGCTACCCCGAATTGTTCCTCTAGGTGATGATGAACATTATTCAACAGCTACTGGTATGACTACTAAAGCATGATCTTGACACTACCTCTTTCTTGTCAGCATCAACTCTCACAGTATCAAAGTCTAGAAGTTAGTTAATAACTAGAATCATGGTGCAGTGCTACATCTGTAGTATATCTGCTACTACATCTGCAGATAATATGCTGTGATTACTTTTAAAAAAGAAAGCAGAGCCACATATTTGAAGGCATTTCCCCCCAGATGTGTTCTGTTAAATCTTAACAAAACCATGAAACCAAAAGCTCACGTGTTATTTGGCTTTGACTAAGCAAGAGTGAGTCACAAATCCCAAATCTGAATTTATTTTAGACTCCAAAGTTCCCTGAAATTTGCAGAAGTTCCAAACCAACATGTCATCCCTGTCTAACCATATCTTAAAGCAGTATTTTTTAAAGTGCTGTCATATGTAACCACGTTGGCCTCAGTTCAGTGCTACACAAAGGAAGTTTGGCAGTGCTAAAGTACACATAGATCAGACACGCAGCCAGTAAAAGTCAGTATAGAAACATGATGAGATTGGCCCATACAAAATCAAGTTGCTGCTGTGTTTTTCAAGTAGCCAGTGCTTATAGACTTAACACATATGCAACTTGCATTGCAATTTTGGTTTGGTTTATTATGGAAATGTATTAGCATTTTCTCTTGCAGATGGGGTCTACCTTGCTTTCCTATTCCATAGGGCTTTCTGTGGGCTTGGTGTTATTTCAAAAATCTAAAGCATGTTCTCTTGGGCTCATCTCAGGCAGTCATCATAATGTTCAACACATTATGCTTCCTGCTGAATGCTGGGAAAAGGTTTGACTCTGAAGGAAAAATCTGGTGGTGTGGTGGTGGTACCTCAAGATGCTTCTGACAGTTTCCTTGGATTTAAACAGCAGCACCTTTAGAACTGTATAAGGCTATGCTGAAATGGTTGAACTACATCTGGCTCAGAATGCCAGCCAAAATATTTTTTTCAAGTTGAATGTGTGAGCCAACATTATCTATCTGCAGCATTTGGCCTTAGTGCCTGGAACAAATGTCTAAACATATTCCAAAAAGTACAATTTCAAAGAAAAAGGAAGAAGAAAAAGAAGACAAGAAAGAGAAAGTTTATGGACTTAAGATGGTGCTGTGATTTCAGTTGTACAAAGCCTTGGCATCTATCAAAGACGTTTGATAGATCAGTTAAAGGTGCAAGCTGTTGTCACATCTTTTCTGCCTATAATACTGTTACACGCCTTTCCACTATTCCTACTGGTCTCTGGGGCACTGTCTGGAAAATCAGCAACTTCTGATAATCGAGGTGATGACACTGGGTGGCTGTGAATTCAACAATACTTTCCAAAAAAATTATCTACTTTCCTCCTCCTCTTGCTTATGCACATAATTGAAAAAGCAAGCCATGTCTAGTTTAACAAGATAAAGTGAACAATCTGGATGGTTGTTCAGCAAGCATAACACTGCAACTGATTCAAAACATCATCATAACAGCTGGGTCCTCCAGTGATGATTTCTTCAAGCAGGAAGACTCAACTCAGACTCCACTAGATGGTGCTCTCTCTGGATTAGAAACTGAAGACACATTACCTACAACCACAGCTTCAGACGTATTGCATCCTGTGCTTGTTCCATCAAGTGAAAGAGAAAGAACTCTGGAGGAAGAATCTTCCCACCATACAGGTATCAGAAGCAATAGTGAACTGTAGAATTAGATTTTCATTTGGATTGTTTGCTTTCATTTCCTGATCCAGGTTTCTGGAGAAATGGTGTTTAACCATACTTAAAATTAGAACTTTTAGTCAAGGGGTTGGTGGGCGTTGTGAGTTTCCTTTAGTTATTCTTCCATATATTAGAGATGTGAGTTCCAAATTGTTGAGAGTTTTGCTCTTCGCAGTCATTTTTCTCCCATTATTTTTAGTTACATTTTAAATAGATACCGGTAGGTACAATCTATTATCAGTGTCAAACGTACCCCAGATATGTCATACCGATAAAATTTATGTTTATACCATTTGCTAGTAAACCTATATAAATATCTAAAAGTAGACTGTACTGGGCTTGATGGGCCAGTGGTTTGACTGAATATTAAGGATGTGCCGTGTGTGAGAACACAGAGGTATAAATCAAGGCCACTTTGCTGTTTGGTTATTCTGAAGTTATCTCTGTGTTATCCCTGTTGTGGCAATGCAGCAGCTTGAGTTGTATTGGTTGCCAGACTTATTGCTACAGTATGCAAATTGAAGAATCTGGGTTTAAGCTGATGTAAGCCTACTGAACTCAGTGGAAGTAGCTGATTCTGTAAGAAGACTGAATTTTCATCCAAGCATTTTGGCTGAATTGGTTTGTGCATTAGTCATTCTATCCATTTCCACACAGAAAGAAAAATTATATAAAATGATAAAATTATACCTCTTCTTGCACTAACTAGTGATTAGCATGCCATCTCAAACATAGGAAGCTGCCTTATACTTAGTCACGCCACTGGTCCATCTAGCTCAAGATGGACAGTCTACACTGACTAGCAGCAGCTCTGCCAGGTTTCAGACAGAGTCTTTCCCAGTCCTGTGTGGAGATGCTAGAGATTGAACCCTTCTGCATGCAAAGCCGATTCTCTGCCACTGAGTCAAGCTTCTTCCCCATGGAAGGTTTGAACTATACTGATTCAAATAACCACCTCAGTACAGTGACACCTTGTTGAGGTGAGAGTTCTGACAGACAGAATGGGCTTCCCTATTGACTTCTGTTGAGGTGGCGATTCTACATGCATAAATAAGGTTTCCATCCTGTGGTGAAACAATTGGCGGAGCCTGTTTCCATTGGAGTTCACGCACAGAACTTTCTGAGTCTCTCACTATCTACTAAACACATGGAAATCCAAAATACTGAGTTACTGATTCCTGCATTGTTTATCATTGCTATGATAGTTCTAGCCTTCAATGAAAGTGCTGAACGTGAAGAATCACATCAAGATCAGTTATCCACAGTGGGCAAAGCTGGGCGGAGAAGTGGTTCTGCCACAAACAGAACGATCCTTGGTGTCCTAGAAACACTTATTCCTCAAAGTGAGAAGCTTCATGACAATGAATCTTCTCAGACAGGTACTGCCTGCAGGATGTTAATGTAATCTTCCTATGTTCAGTTCTGTTTCTCTTTTATGTCAGCGAATAGGAAGGCTTTTATGTCTCAGCGAGAAGTCCAGCCTTTATTAGAACTGTGGTCTGACGCTTCTCCATTTGGGGTGAAACATGGCTTCAAAAATGGAAGCAATTTTTATTGTGGTAATTGCACAGGAGGAAAGCAGCAGCCCCTCCTATGTCACGGTTCTGATCCAGTTCCCCTGCCCCTTACACGGCAGCTACATTCACAGACCTGCATCTCACATATATTTTGGCCTTCTTACTACCCTTTAAAGTGAATTCCTAGTATTCCAGTATTAGGGCACTAAGATAATCATGGTAGTCTGAGAAAACCTTCCATTAATAATGGATTGTTAGCATTCCCAATAATGGATGGCATCACCGCCAGTCCATGGAGGCCCAACCTCCAAATGGCGCCATCCCTTCTGCAGGATCCTGCGCACATTTCTCTGTCCTGCTACCTCAGTCAGTGTTAAAGAATGGTGGACCCATGTTCTTTTGCATCAGAGGCACCTAAGTTTTAAAAAGAGGTAGCTTTGAGAAGAGCCACTATTCCATTCAAACAGATAAGTCACATTTCATCATCTGAGTAGGGCTTCATATCATATTAGTTTTATTTCATCTTGACACCACCACCCCAATATAATTCAATCTCTGACACCAAGAATATTAGTGTCAGAGTGCTTTACACACGATTATTTTGCTTGGGCCTCTGTTGTGTAGATGCAGCCCATTACTGTTGTTTTAGCATTTCTTCAAGTAGAAAATACTCTACATTTACTGTAGATAACCAAAATTATCTACAGTATTTACTAATTTGTATTTCTGTTGCCTGCTTTGCCGTCACAACATTGAAAGAACAAATTTGTTTTTACAAATACTTGGTAATTGTGCCATAAACAGCATGTGTCTATGAGGAAGTCAAAATACCTCCTTTGCAAGCTTATTTCTTTTCTTTTTTTAGAAACCTAGCTGTCTGCAAATAAGAAATGAACAAAATATGTTGTCTTCATACCATTTAACTAAAACCAAAATCATTTTATAGCTGTGGAATACAAAATGCTTGCTTCACATGTACATAATAATGGCTAGATAAGATATTGTTTCAAAGGATTTAACTAAAATGAATTAACTGAAATATGAACTGGTTTTTTTTATTGAAAAGTGCTTATACTAAAAGTGTAATAGAGAATCTTGACTTAGTGACAGATAATCAGACCCCTAAAAGGCACCCTTTTTTCTTGCGTGCCACCAGTGTAGTTGGATTCATATTGAACTGCAAGATGCATGTACAATAGACAGTGGTTCTGCATATATTAAATTAACAAATACTTCACCACAAAAGCAGATAATGGGATGAAAGTTGAAGAATCCACTCAAGGCCCACCATCTCATGGCATATATCCTGAATGGTCCAATGAAGAAAGATACCCCACAAACTCATCCAGCAAAGAGACACTACCTGAAATTATTCATCCAAGTGAAAATGAGCAAAAAAATGAATCCATTTATACAGGTATATCTCAGAAAAGTTCTATTCAGCCCCAATCATTATTATTTCCTACAAAGGGTGTAATCCTGACTCCTATGAAGTCAGCATGAATCAGGATTGCAGCCTTAACTACTGATACATCCTAAGAAAATTATTTAATCTGCATAACATGGGCCTGATAGTGAAAATGTGGTATTGATTCAGTCATCATTGTAGCAGTTGTGGTCTCCACAGGTAAGATTAACCGTGAAGACTGATAATCATGGTATATAGATTAATGAGATCCATCTTGGTGGGAGCAATGAAAATTGATATCCTACAAAAACATCTAAAAATGGAATTATGCCTGGTCTCATTTCAAGTGTAAACAAGCATGAAGAGGATTTGGAAATATCTCATTCGGGTACTAGGAAGAAAAAGAAAATTCGGCATTGTTAAACTTTTCTACACTTTTTAAATTCATTTAATAAATGTATAGTCACCTTTCAAAACAACAACGACAAAACTTCCACAAGATGACTGACAAATATGTAAACTCAAGATCAAACAATAAATTTAAAAACAATTTAGAAAACCCCAAATCCACAAGAAAATAGTAGCAAGCTTGCATAGCACATCAGTAAATTTCTAAGCAAAACATAAATGTTTTTGAAGTCTTCTTGGGTTGAAGTCCTCTTAAAGATGGAGCCATGCATACTTCTTTGGGAAAAGAATTTGAGAAATGTGGCATGTTAGATTGGAGGTTATTATTTCCCCAGATGGAATTTATTACTTTGACAATGCATATGGAGTTCAGTCTTAACCTAATAATTAATACTGCTTAAGCCTTAACCTAATCTTTTAATTGACTTCATCTAAAATTCTGATAGTGCCCGTAAAGCTAGATAAGATGGGCATCAAATAATTATGAGGAGGAAACTGCTAACATAGGGTATTGTCTAACTAAATCAAGAGCTGATCCACTGAAATGAATGGATTCATGTTATTCCAGTCCACTGATTTTAATGGGTCTATTCTTTATCAGGCTACCATTCGCTACCATTTGTTGTCTTTAAAACAGATTCAGACATTATTATAGCAGCTGTTGGAATGAACTACAAAGATTCCTCTCATGATTCACACATGTAGGCTAGTTTATATCCTCTTGGGCAGTGAAGGCAAATTTATTGCAGCTAGAGGGGAAAAAAATGAAAAGGTTTTTTTTAAAAACCCACCTATTCTTGCCTTTTCTTTTTTTAGACTGGGTTACTTTAGTCTTCCATTGAGGTTGATGACCAAAGGCCTATGTTGACTTGATCTGGACAAGTATTTATAAATACTCCAGAGTCTGGCAAAATAAGTCCTATGGTAGAAAGATTTGCTTTCCCAGACAAGAGGCTTCAAAAGATTCATGAAGCAGAGATGGTTGTATATGATCTTGGCTGGGACAGTGACAATAAATACCTTGCAAATGCATCTAAATTTAATTAGCCACCTAGAATCATTCCTCAGAACAAAAAGCAAGTAAAAAGGAAATGCCACATACAGGTACAGGCAGTGATTCATTATCATTAAATCTTTTAGCTAAATTAGAAATAATAATAATAATAATAATAATAATAACCCCCCATCTGGTTGTGTTTCCCCAGCCACTCTGGGCGGTTTCCAACAAAAGATTAAAAATACATTAAAACATCAGTCATTAAAAACGTCCCTAAACAGGACTGCCTTCTGATGCCTTCTAAACGTCAGATAGTTGTTTATTCTTTGACATCTGGTGGGAGTGCATTCCACAGGGCGCGTGCCACTACTGAGAAGGCCCTCTGCCTGGTTCCCTGTAACTTTGCTTCTCGCAGTGAGGGAACCGCCAGAAGGCCCTCGGCGCTGGACCTCAGTGTCCGGGCAGAACGATGGGGGTGGAGACGCTCATTCAGGTATACTGGCCCTGTTTTCTGTGTAGATTTTATAGCTATAGAATACGTTTTGGATAGAGCTATAGTTCTGTCTCATCTAAAACGGCTATTGTGGTTACTGATTTCCACTTTCCATGTTAGGGTTAAGTAGAATTGCACTTAGTGAAGCGCATGTGAAAGCAGAGAATTCAAAACTGACCCAGCCATCTTTGTAACAGCAGTAGTCTCCAGTGATAGCACTGACTATGAAGATTCCGGTCAGGATACAATGTTGCACAGTGAGCATTCTGGACAGGATAATGAAGAAAAACATCTCACAAACACATCTGGAAATCATTTGCTGCCTGGAATTCTTCATGCAGCTGAAAGTGAGCATGAAAATGAACGTTCAGACACAGGTATTGACTGGAAAAATAGTAAAAACATTTTACTTCTTTTTTCAGTAATCTCTCTAGATAAATTAGAAGCTATCTCAAACTATGTAAAGATGTAATCCTGACTCCATTTAAATAAATGGACTTTCACTAAACACAGGAAGCATGGTGTGATGAAAAAGTATGCAAAATTTGTTTGCTACTTGAGATTATCTCCTGCCTGAAATAACTCTTCCAAGTTGAAGGAGTCTTGAAATGGAAACATCTCCTTGGGTGTCTTCCAAGTACAGGAATTCTAATGGTTTTTAATTCTTCTGGTGTTGGACGAAAGGTACTTGAACTGTAAATCATAGTAGGTAAATGCCATCAGACTAAACATAATTATACTTAAAAACCTAATACGATATTGATTCAATTCAACAAAACATAGCACTTAGTAAGAACTGATGAAAAGAACGATACCTATGTAACATTTGAAAAATATTCAAACCATCATTACAACAGCTGTTGCCTCCAGTGATAATGGCAAGCAGGAAGACACCACACAAAAACCACATGCAATGCATCCTGGGTGGGAAAGTGAAGATGAAGATACCACAAACACAACTATGGATAATATCCCACCTATAATTATTTTTTCAAGTGGAGGAAAGCATGAAAAGGAGACGCATCATACAGGTACCTCCCAGGAAATAGAACTTTAATAAATTTGCAGTTCTTTGTATTATTTTTCAAATGTACTGCATTGTCACCGTACTCCATTTGAAGAGCTATCCCAACTACTCTCATTCTCTCTGCCAGTTGATAATAAAGTTCCATTCATTTGCAACAAAATAATGGTATTCATAACCCACTTAAAAGCAGAGTCAGTAATTACAGGAGACGACTCTCCATACTTAGCCTTCAAACCCAGGTGTGTGTTTTTTATGAGTCACTGTGAGAATGTGGGTGTATAAATGCAGAAAGTACAGAAATAAATTGCCATAACTGCGACTTTCAGGGATGACAATGACCACTGACTTAGCATCAGTCAGATGAATGGAGTAATTTAGTGGTGGAGTAGTAAGGACAGGTAAAATACAAATAAATCTAGGGCTGAAGGGCTACTTGGCATTACGCCTCCAAGTTACAAAAACAAAACAAAACTGTACATGAATAGTCTTGTAGAGATACAATTTTTTTTTATGTTAAACTAATCTGTTTCATTGAAATCTTTTGAAGGAAATTCTGCCATCAACATGCCCTTTAGGGATGCTGATGGGCTAACATATGCATTATTTAGAAAGAGTCAGAAGCCTCCCAATACATAACCATAGAATTATAGAGTTGGAGGGGACCCCCAAAGGCCATCTGGTCCAAGCCCCTGCAATGCAGGAATCTCAACAAAAGTTTCCACAACAGTTGACCATCTAATCTCTGCTTAAAAACCTCCAGTGAAGGAGAGTCCCTCACCTACTAAGGGAGTCCGTTCCACTGTTAGGCTACTCCTATTGTCAGAAGGTTCTTCCTAATGTTTAGCTGGAATCTCCTTTCTTGTAACTTGAATCTATGTGCAGTAGAAGGCCAGGTAATGTGCCTCTCAGTAAACAATTTCGTAATAGATTACATAAGCATTGTAATAAATAAATGAATGAATGAATGATCTAACTATATTGTGACAGCTGTGGTCTCTGATGGTGGTAGTGACCATGAAGATTCTACTCAAGAAGCACATCCTGGCCAGAACAATGAACACAGGCATCCTTCAAACACGTCAACAGATTATTTTGTACCTGGAATTATTTCTTCAGTTGAATACGTGCATGGAAATGAAACTTCACATATAGGTACAAGCAAGAAGAAGAAAATTCAGATATTTTCTTTGTTACGTTCTAGATGAATTAGGCTGCTGTATTGAGCTAGATAACAGGTTGCAATTTTAATCTTACTGAAATCAATTATAGTGGTACCTCGGGTTACGAACTTAATTCGTTCCGGAGGTCTGTTCTTAACCTGAAACCTTTCTTAACCTGAGGTACCACCTTAGCTTGTGCGCAATTTCTGTTCTCATCCTGGGGCAAAGTTCTTAACCCGAGGTACTACTTCCAGGTTAGTGGAGTCTGTAACCCGAAGTACCACTGTATAGAAATTCATTGACATTACACAAAACAAGGAAGATACTCGTGTCATGATAGGGCACAATGGTCTGTAATTGATATGAGAACTGGCCATGCAATCATAATATTTAAACTTGATTCCAGCATCATTGGAATAGCAGTGGTCTATAGTTAAGGTGGGACGCGGGGGGCGCTGTGGGTTAAACCACAGAGCCTACGGCTTGCCGATCAGAAGGTTGGTAGTTTGAATCCCCACGATGGGGTGAGCTCCCGTTGCTCAGTCCATGCTACTGCCAACCTAGCAGTTCGAAAGCACATCAAAGTGCAAGTAGATAAATTGGTACCGCTCTGGCGGGAAGGTAAATGGTGTTTCCGTGCGCTGCTCTGGTTCGCCAGAAGTGGCTTAGTCATGCTGGCCACATGACCCGGAAGCTGTAGGCCGGCTCCCTCGGCCGATAAAGCGAGATGAGCGCCGCAACCCCAGAGTCGGCCACAACTAGACCTAATGGTCAGGGGTCCCTTTACCTTTACCTATAGTTATGGTATAAGCCTTGAACATCCATTTTTCATTCATGCACACAGTAAAGCTTTTAAGTAACAATAAAATACACTGCAAATATCTAGAGATAACTTGCTACTTAGTAGTATTCCTCTATCAGAAAGTTAGAATAAAAAGAAAACATTTCATGTAACTATAAAGAGGAAGTGTGCATTTTTGTTTTGTTTTTGTTTTTTCATTCTGTTGATATATTCCAAATGAATTATATTCCTTTTGTGTCCTGGTTTGTAAGGAAACTAAATTTGCATTGAGATCCACTAAAATGTGGTAATGGATATCCATTAGCAATACTAATTTAAAAAAATTAAATGCGATGCTAAGCAAATCATGTGGGATGTAGTTCTGCAAATGTTACAGAACACTTAACATTAACCCAACCATCATTATCATAGCTGTGGGTTCCAGTGATGATATCAAACATGAAGTTGCTACTCGTGATCCAACGGTACATGATATACATCATGAATCAGGTAGAGAAGATGATTATTCTACAAACAGCACGAAGGATGAAGTACCCATAGAAGTTATTCCTCCAACTGGAAACAATAACATAGATAATTTCTATCATACAGGTAGTTGTGGCAGCTCCATTCTTAATTATGTGGTGATTGGTGATGGTGTGGGGAATCACATTGCTCACAACTGGATTCTTATTTTCAGTCAGTAAATATAGTTGAACATGTAAGGTGCACAAGAAATGTAATTGCATGTAAATATGAGTAAAGCTGAGAACATTGCGCAGTGAGTTATTGGGAGGGGAGTGGCTTGCAAAAGCCATCATTTTGTATTTTAACACGTCCAAACCTAAGTTCATCATTGATTCACCAAACAGCTGTCATACACAACGATCATGAAGACTCAACTCAACAACCATTACCTCCCATTCATCAGCCAGGCTGGGATGCTGAAGAAATATATCCCACAAATACTTCTAGAGATGGTATACCGATGGGAGTTGATTCAGATAGTGAAAGCAAACAAACAGGTATTGCGCTGAATAATCTATTCATTTCATCACAATGTATGAAATGAAGCACTGTTTTTGAAACAAAGCATTTGTCGTTCTTTAAATCTGTACCCCGCCTTTCCACCAAATGGAAATGTTGATTAATGTCTAGATTTAAAGGTTGGAATTCTAACCTAAGAATATTATTTGTTCCGTTTAACATAAGGTTGGTGTTTTCGGGCAATTTGAGAGGGACTGATTCTTTGGGATCGATGTCTCATGCTTTAGGAAATCCTCTGATTTTAACTTTTGAATGTTAGCTCTAGCCTCTGAGAGTTGAAAGTGCCCTATGGGGATATTTTTAGGCAATGATACATGACAAGGACAAGTGATTTGTTCAAAATAGGGATTAGGGCATAAATTGTACTGAGGCATAGCCTTCTGAAAATTAGAATTAAAAGTTCTCTCACTAGAGGCAAGCTTGCTATTCCTTAATAATAATAAGGAACAACTCCTGTTCTAAGAGTTGATTTTATGCAAACCCCATTTAAAGGAGATGTTCCTCCCATCAAGTTTATATAGCAGGCTCCAGAAAAAACAGGCCTGGCAATATAGACAATAGCATTCATTCCACGACACAAGAACTTGATAGTACCTGACCAGATATTTCTATGCTGATGTTTTGTTTTGTTCTCAAGCTAGTCTGTAGGGCATAATGTCCTTTGGTTTAAATTTCTGATCATGTGTAGAACTTGTAGAACATAAACAAACAAGATATACAAATATGGTTCTGAAACTAAGTCTTACATTTTAATTCTTTATATCTCATTCATTATGATTATTATTTGCATATGCCAATCACCCAGAGTCAAATAATGATGTTTGCTGTGATGATCATTTAATTATGACATGATTTATAATAAAATTAGCCCATGTTAAAACCTGTAGAAGAGTTGAAATGAGTGTGTGAGAAAGGGAGTGGTGAGTAGAGAGCAGAAGGTTGAAGAACGTGGGCTCTCATCCACAACTGACAAGTACTTGGCTGTAGCTCATGAATAGTTTTCTCTTCCATCAAAAGTATATAACACAAATGTCATTGTCAAGTTGATGAAATTTTCTGCATGCCTAATCAACTGTCAGTGTCAGCTGCTGATGTCAGATGTTGGGTCAGAAAATAAAACCAAGGGGGCAGCCAGATCACTGTCAAAGTCTTTTGGAATTTCTGAATTGTAGCAAATCTGGCATCCCAGCATGTTGTTTGGATAGAAATATTCTGCTGGTAGAGTAAGAAGTCAGTGGATCAGAGTGAAAAGCAGCTAATAGTTTTGCTATTTTTACAATCTCAATTCATTTACCATTGCCATAGATGTGGCCAAAGAAGATTCAACCCCAGAACCAGTGAGGCAATGGGGTCATGAAGACAAATACACGACGAAATCAACAGCAGATGTCTTAGTTCCTGGAATTGTTCCTCGAAGAGGAATAAGTCAAAAAAATAATACTGATCATACAGGTATTCAGTAGAATGGTGGTGGGATTCCTTTTAACCCCCTTTTTTTTTTATAATTGATATTTATTAAGTTTCAAAGGATAACAACGAAGATTTCCAAAAAAAGTTGAAGATACAAAATAACAAAAGTAATACAAAGATATTAAAGAAAAAGAAAAGAAAACCCAGCCGCAAAAAAGAAAAAAAAGAAAAGAAAAACAAAAAAACAGAAATATGTAGTTCTTTACGATCTCCATTAACTTCCTTTCTAGACTTCCTCCTCCTCCCCTCTCTTGTTTCTTAGTTTTTAATTTTCACAGCAAATCCTTTCTGTCTTTTTTTTCCCCATAACAATCTATCATTACATTTCCTTATTCTATTTTCCCTCTTGTCATATAAAAACTTTAATTCAATATTCAATATTTAGCAGATTCTTACATCATTACCTTTTTACAAATCATTTACCAATCCTTACTTAAGCCATATAATTTCATTCAACACCCTTCAAACATTTATAAACATTCCCAATATTAAAAAATAAGAAAGAAAAAATAATAAGTCAAATTCAGTCCAGTCAGCTTCCAGCCTCCCCTCCCCAGGACCCAAGATTGTCAGTCCTTTTAACCTCAATAATCCAGCTCGTCAACCTGGTTGTCTCGTATCCGAGGCCCTCAAGTCTCTTTCTTGCCCCTTTCGCCGCTCTTGTTGATATTTCCCTTTCAGTCGTGGAGACTCCAGCAGAAAGATGCTTTTAACTCTTTGCAGCAAATCCATTCCAGACCCATTACCCAAGCCAGAGAGCAGATGATGCCAGTTCCATTTTCCACAGAGCTTGGAGACTTCGACTACTCCAATCTTCTGATGGCCCATCAGATTTGCCCCAAGTTCATTTATCAAGTTCAAAGGCTGATCTTGCCCATCCAATGATCCCTCCATCTCTGAAGCCTCCGTCGCTACAGCAGGTTCATATACTTGTATAGACTTTAACTGAATTTCATTTGTTTGCTGCTGTGCTCTGGTAACTTCCATCATCAAGGTCGACTCCTGACGCATCTGGTCCAGCTGGGCACTTAATTTTGCAAAACCTTCCAGGAACACTTGTTGAAGCCTTTGTACAAGCATTGTCCTTCAAGGTCAAAGAAAATTCTTTCCCACGAGAATAGCTCTTCTTTTTAAACTCTCTGCATTGCAATTTCACTCAGTTCCACTAGATGGAACAAATTTTACTTTTGCAACAATCTTACTTTTTCCAAAAACACTTTATCCAAAATTCCCCCTAAGAGGCAACAGTAGAGTCAAAATGTTACCCTTCTTTTAACTATCTGTCGAGCTGGATAAGCTTCAAAACGTCAGTTCTGACAGCCCGCTCCTGGTTCAGGGCGGTGGAAAATTACTTTATTTTAAACTCACTTCCGCAGGGTTCAACAAAAACCAAAACCACCCCCTTCTTCTCCTGCAGTCAAAGGGGGGTTCAGAAATCTTAGATGTTGAATTTTAGTTCTCTCAGAATTTAATTTTCAAGCTTTAGTATAATTTGTCTTTGCTTTCTTCACGTAACAAAAGAACGGAAGGTTGACTTCCTGTTTAGACCTTTCCGTTCCGAGTCCCAATTAAGTTCAATTTCAAGTCCAAATCCAATGCTATTTATTTATTCTCCAATCTTAAAAGTAGTTCAGCTCTTCCAAGATCAGGTACTCACGGATAGATATTTTAGATGCCAGATTGTCCAAGAAGAAGGCAGCGCTCTCCGAAAACGGCAGTGCGGCTTTGCTGCACGGAGGAAGCAGTCGACTCACAGCACCACGCACCTCCCGCTCCGGAGCCCGTTGCCGGGCTCCTGTACAAGGGGAGAGAGCGCTCTCGGTGCCCGCCGAGTCCCACGTCCACAGGCTTCTTCCGCCTGTGGTTTTTAAGGGCCCCCGCTGCGCCGTAGCGGCAGGACCCAAGCCTCCGTGCAGCGGGTTCCCTTCAGTTCGAAGGGAATTCCGCCATTTTCCGGAGGCGCCACCCCGGAAGTCCGGGATTCCTTTTAACCCTGTCTATCTTGGGTGAGATAATCTCATGTTGTTAATTTTCATGTCTATTTTAAAACAGACACCGAAAATTAAATTGCATGTAACCTGAACTTATATAAGGTCGAGGAACAGAAACTAAATTGTTACCTTGGCCAGGACCTTATTGGTAAAACGAATGTGTTGAAGTTGCTACTTGGGGACTGTACCATGTGGAGATTACCTCATAAAATAATGTCATAAAATCATTTGTAAGCAGTTGCAGCCTAATGACATTTCCATATCTTTGAACTTCAGTTTTGAAATTTCCCTGTCAAAATTCCTTGCTTAATATTCTTTAATTGCTTGCTTAATATTCTTTAAGTGGCTAATGGAGCACATGTGATTGTGATAGCCATGACCATTTTGATAGCCACCAAGATTGTGAGAAGTACTTGTCTGTTTGCCAGGCACTGCAGGTGTACACAACGTAAATTTGTTGAAGGAGTATTGCATTTTGAGTTGTGATCAAATTGACTGTTTCCCAAACATATGTTATTTTTTTTTGCGGGGGCGGGAGAGTATGATATGTACAGGGGAATAATTTTCTAAAACAATTTAGGTCATGATTTCTCTATTCCGTTCTGCAAATATTTGCATTTATTGTTTCAATTATGTAATTTTGCTATCATGTGAAGCTAATGATCCTTCACAAAATGTATCTATTATGCTGTCTGCTGTTACATCTCCTACTTGAGAGCCTAGTGATGTCTTTAAATGCTGTCTTTATGTCAGTATTAATGCCAAGATGTAAGGTTTTGCAGGATCCTTGCTTAAACATGGCAGTGTGTTGAAGTTTTTGGTGTACTTTAGAGACTCGTTTCCTTCCTAGTTTCAGTGGCTAGTGTTTCTTTTTAGGTAGACAATTAGAGCATCTCTTAATATCTGTAGTAAGAACTGATATATTGATTATTCATTTCACTTTGTTGTTCCTGGCATATTCTTGGGCTTTCCAAACTGCTGGTGTGCTTTACATGTCTTGAATATTTATCTCTGTAGAGATAAAAATCGGACGGAATTTGAGCCAGTGGGTTTGTTTAAGTTTTGAAAAAGGGAAGGAAATGACAACACCTTACTTCCCAAGCGTGGTGTGGGTTAATGGGCTTGTTAGCAGGAGCCATGCATGAATTTTATTATTAGACAATATTTCCATGTGTATGCACACTCTAATGTGGCATCTTTTGCCAAATGGTCCTTGGATCCAATGTTACTTTGATCTGAGCTGCTTCTGGCTGTTGATCACTTGAGTCTCTGTCCATTACTACTGGAAGGTTTCATGAGCAGATCAGAAACATTGCAACCTTCCCTATTTTGTTCTTTTTAAACTTTCAGTATAGTAGGAATTTTGTAAAACAAAAAAACAAACCGGTTTTAATTCTGCAAATTTCAAGGTTAATTGATAGTTAATAGTTAATTCAACCATCATTACAACAGCAGTAGTCTCAAAGGATGGAACCAAAACTGAAGAATCAACACAAGATCCACAGTTACATGGATTGCGTCCTGAATGGAGCACTGAAGATGAGCCTCTTGTAAATGGCACTCAAGATTATGTATTACCTGGAGTTTTTCCTGAAATTGACAGTGGTTCTGACAGACATCCATCATCGCCTACTGCCAGTAAGAGTTATAAATTCCAGGAACTTCAGCTAACCTTTACTTTTCCATACATCAAAATCCTGGGGAAATGTGGTGTGGAAACAAATAGCTTTTAGATGGAAATCTCACTGTGATTACATTCTGTTTATTTCATGACTTCTTGCAAAGATGCATGATCAAACTCTGATTTTAATGAATGCGTTTGCACTAGTCGAAGGAAGTTGTGTGATCATTTCTCAACAATCTTTCTGTCTCTCCAGTTTTGGAGATTAGTTGATTTTTCTCCCTTTTCTCACTTATGGGAACTATTTTCAAATTATAACAGATTAATACATATTTCTATAAGTATCACTACAAACAATTACACATAGCAATATTAGCTAACGTCTGCGGTGTTTGCATGCATTTGATAAGTGTATGTGGTGTTATGGAAAGGCAGTTTCACCCTGATTGCTACAGGGATACACTTCACAGAAGAACTCAAAATACAGGGCTAAAGAATACAATAAATATAAACTAGCTGGAAATTTAAAAGAAGAAAGCATTTTATCATGGTTTGGAAAACTAATTTTAATTTTCATAGAGTAATGAAAATTCCCTTTCCTTAGCATAGCCTGCCAGTATTTTACAAAAGAAGGCTTTTTGAAATGGTTGGCAAACAAGGTGTGATAGGGAGAAACCCAAATGAAAGCTCTGAGGAAACTATGGTTTATATGGAGCTTAAGCACTGCTGTATCCTTGTACTTTACCATTCCCGTGACAAGGAATAGGGCCTTGTTATGAAACTCAACGCACCTGTGTTTCCTTTGACAATATCATGTATTTTTTTTGTCTGTGAAAACTCAAGGGCTCCAGATTTATATAACACAGCTCTAATGTTTTGTGAGTAATGCATGTTTGTTTGTTTTTTATCTAGGTGATAACCCAAATGATCCGAAGGGGTCCGGAAGAGGGACACACATTGACCAGACAGGGGAATCGCCAAAAAGCGAGCCACGAATGGCTGCCATACCAGGTTGGTGTCTTTACTTTTACCATTTATGTTTATTATAAAGTCCTATTGGTTTGTGATTGCTCCTCTCACTGCCACCACTGGAAGTGGTGAGCCTCTAGGTCAGTGATTCCCAATCTTTTTATGGCCATGCCCCACCTCAGCATCTCTAAAATCCTGATTCCCCACCCCACCCCGGTGACATATAATTCTTATTATTTAAGAAGTGAACTCCTATTCACATGGAGGAAGCTTAAAAGGCCATTCACTGTTAATAACTCGTTCTCAAATTGCCCCCGTGTGGGGCGTGTGCCCCACTTTGGGAACCACAGCTCCAGATGCTTTGCATGTAGAACTTCTTAGGTTAAATCACTGAGAAATTAAGTTAAAGGTTCAGTCTAGGCAAGACCGTCACCTTACATTTCAGGATCTTCTGCCAGGCAGACAAGGAAAACACTTGGTTACATAGGCCACCAGATTCATTATAAAGTGGCTTCATTTTTGTCGTGTATTTGCAAGGTCAGTGTAGCAGGAAACAGGAGGGAAAGTCTCAGGAACTTAGTTATCAGTTCTTGGGGAGCCCGGGGGCAAGTCACTCTCACTGGTCTCCCTCAGTGTCATTGTTGCTAGTTGCCACTGCCAGACAGAGCCTGTGAGGAAGCAGGAGGCAGCAGCTACTATTGTTTCTTTTCAGCACCATCGTTGTTTGCTAGCTCATCCTATCTGGGTCAGAGATGGGGAGTCCAGGGGCGGGGGCAGGCACCTGGCTGAACCCACCTTTAAAAATAATATTGCAGCACTATGCTAGTTCCTTGCAAGTATTTCCTTCATGCAGCCTTGTATGGGGATACACAGCCTTGTGGAGAAATCTTAGCATAAAGAAGGAAGAACCTGGAAACAACCAGCAGCCATTTTCTTAGTCACAGCAGTGCTGTGTACCAGCTGTTATGATCAGGTTTCTGTATGCTTCCCACTTCTCACAAAAGAGTCTCCATACAGTTATTTTTGCCATTTATATGGGCGTGCAGGGGAGGAAAGAATATTTGTGAGCCAGACCTGAGAGGAAACCTCACTCTGTTGCTTCATACATTGAAAGAAAACAATAAGCATGGGTCCTTTAAGGAAATAAAGTGGGGTTATTAATGATACTATGTCAACTACTGTGTCAACTCTCTATCCAGATGACTAGCCAGTAAAAGTTTCCATGTTTTTTCCCCTCCCTCGAACTTCCACCCACAGATTGGCTTATTGTAGTTGCTTCTCTCTTGGCACTGGCATTGATACTTGGTGTTTGCATTGCTGTGAACAGTCGAAGGAGGTAAGGAATGGCTTTTGTAAATTTCCACTGGTTAGTGCCAGAACTTTCTTTTAGTCTTGTTGCTGGGAAATTCCAAGATCCAAGATCTGACATCTTTAAATAATACAAAGGAGAAAGCAGCTCCTTCTTTCAAGAGATGTCCATTGAAAAGCACACGTCAAGGCACACAATAGTGCATTTATACAAAAGTGTGGCTGGTAAATATTTAAATAAGTAAGCAATGAAGGAACTTCTTTATGCTTCTGAATATCTTTTAACCTTGCAACTGTAATAGTTAGCTGGTAATCAGTAAGTTTAATTTTTTCTTGTTTTTATAGTGGGTGTGTGGATGGATAGATAGATGAGAGGGAGAGAGAGGTTGTCAACTATGTATTTTTAATGTGTTTTTTTCCCTTTGACATGAAATTGCACTATACAAGTATTTTCCTAAAGGATGCTCAGTCCTGCATGTGGGCATCCCATAGGCATCTAGGTGGCCACTGTGAGAGCAGGCAGGCACAGGAGGGATGGCGCTCTCCTTTCGTCCTATGCAACCAGCATAGAAACTAAGTAGGCTGCCAAAGCAAGGAAGCCCTGTCTTCTGGGCCCAGCATAGAAATGCAGTAGGTTAGAGGAGAGATGGAGCTCCTTGTCCTCCTCCTTCCAGCTCTCAGCACGATAGTAAAAATTGCAGGCTTGTAACTTTTGTGGGCTTCTTTGCCACGCAGCAAAGCACCCACCTGCCTGTCACTGTAGATGATCCTATACTGTTAACCCATTTTGAGTCATGAGCGGACAGCTCTCCACTGACTGTGGACTGAGAATTACTACCTTGGCTGCAATCTGCATTCCAGTCCTATCAAAGTCACGCTACTTCATTGTTGTTGTTTTTATCTTATCTACCACACAGAAGGTACTTTTCAGAAGTATTTCCTGCTAGTTTGTAAGTTGATGCATGGATCTAAGTGTGGACATAAACGTTTACTAATTAATGATAGTCTCTGACCTTTCATAGCTGCTGTTTTCTTCCTTTGTCTTGAAAAAAGCAGACAAGCACAGACCAACCATGATCAAATGCAGATAACCTTTCCTTTAAAATGGTTCAGTCTGGAAGCTATAAATCAAAATGGCATCCTAACTGAAAACATAGTTTTTCTTCAAATATCACGAGATTAAATACTACATGCATACTTGCAGGTTTCCCATAGGCATCTTGTTGGCCAAAGTGAGGGCAGGATGTTGGACTTTTCTTATGTTTTAAAGCTTTGATTAACCCAGATAGAATCGGTGAGTTTTACTTCACTTTTTAATGTGATTGTGTGCTTTGACATCCCATGTTTTTCCCTTTCCATTAGATGTGGGCAGAAGCAAAAACTTATTATCAACAATGGCAAAGGAGGCATAAATGAGAAAAACAAGGGTGGATTGAATGGAGAAGCCAGTAGATCTCGGGAAATGGTTCATTTGGTGCATGATGAGAAGCCAGAAAACCAAACAGATGAATTCCAGGCAATTGATGAAACGCAGAACCAACAAGAAGTGGCCTTGAAGAGTGGCGTGTAAGAGAGCTGCGCCAATCCAATTTCATCAGAGGTGAAGAAGCAAAAAAACAATGCACGGAACTGGGACTAGAACTCACAAATGCAATGAGCTACTGATGTCTTTGAAGCATAATTAAGCATACATTTTCTTCTTTCTCTATTTTTAATGGTCAGGTACAAGATAAAAATGTCGTGTTTCCTCTGCTCAAGATTGCTTAATTTTGCCCGGTTCAGATGGGCGACCACCAACATCACCCGTCTCCCAATTGTGGTCTACTGTTTGATAAGGCAGAATACCAACTTCAACTTATTTCCCCTAACTTGTGCAGCTTTCCCCTCATTATATTGTAATGGAGTCACCAGGATCTCTAGCCAGTGCCTTTAAGGCATTAAGGTACTGAGCATAACCTTGAGGCCTAGAACATCAATATTAATTGCAATGGGAGACTTCAGAACAGAATTCTTATTTGTCACTTAGCCCTGAAGGATTTGTCATCATTTTGAATCTCACTCACTTCTTGATATTTGGAATTGTGTGCTGAAGTAATTGAATACAGAAAGACAAATTTATCCAAAAATTCCAGGAATGTCCAGTAACAATTTTTAATAGGGTGGAAAGGCAAGTAAGAATAAAATTGATTTTATAGCAAATAAATTTTTATTCTCTATAATCTAAATAATCTGTGGTGTTGTTTTTGCATTTCAAAGTTGCATATCTATTGCATGGTTCATAGTTGGAATATTTGTTAAAAGTATTAATTCAGCTCCATTTGACTACACCACATTTAGATATAATGGATGTACAACAGTGGATTTTCTATGGGATCCTTTGTATGTTTCCAATGAATTGGGGGTCTGAATCGAAACCCTATATGTCTGGGTGTTGTGTCTACTTCAAATAACTCTTTCCATTTTGGAGTTCCATGCATGGCTGCCAGCCTAATGTCAGAAACAGCACATGTAACTCGTTGTTAGATGGTTGGGTGGGGTGATGGCACTCATAAGTTGTATCACAGCTGCTTACTAGGAAGAAGGGGAGGCTGGTGCAGTGCAGACACACTAGCAGAGGTGCCAGATTGGCTCTGCTGGTACATTTGCACCACACTTAACTCTCCTTTCCTGAAAGCAGCAGCAATGTGGCTGATCAGAGGTCAGGTGAGTGCCATTGCTGCAACACACTGTCTGCTACTGGTAGCTCCAAGAACCATTCAGAGGTCCAAGAACCACACATGTACAGCATTCCTTTGCATACACATTTCCCATCCTAGCAGGCCGTGTGTGGGCAATAAGTTGCTTTTGTGCATAGCAGCACTATGGTGGTGGTTGCACTCTGCTGAGAATATGTTCCTTCTTAGGAAACTAGCACGTACACAGTCCATTCGTCTCATATTACCTGAATCATATTTGCAACGTGATGTTGGAGAGGGGTTTTAACCTTTCCTTCAGACACTTCATTTGATTGCACCGGGCGCATAAAAATAACCACAGCAGTCTCCATATGCCACAGAGATGAATAGCAAATGATCGCTTCCTTTCCAGTAGAAAGCTATAAATGGCCTGTTGGTTACACATGACAAATGCTATGAGAAATACAACTCACCTGTAGGACTAAGAAGAAACTAACATAAAAGTCTCTGAGAAAATCAAACACAAATATTATGAAGCTGAATAACAGTAAATAGTTGCAAATATATCACCACAGTTCCTTGTTCTTCTTATGTCCAATTTTCTTAAGAGACATATTTTTTTAAAAAACTAAAAACTCCTAATTACTTCCTAATTAACACCATGCACATTATCATACCAATGCAGAAATGTAGGCCTGTTTGTGGAAGGAGTGTCCATGCATCAATGCTACAGCTCGGGGTAAGCATTGACATCTGTACCACATTGTTAATCTGGATCACACTACACTGTGTAGACGAACATCAGCCCTCCACCCTGCTCTGGCTGTTTAAACATGTTTGCACCTTGTCAGATAATAACACTACGAATTGTTTCTTATTTTATTCACCATTGCCACTGCAAAATCCTAGTTTTCTTTACAGTCAGAAATGCTATGGATTCCTAGCAGCATACCCTCTTTTTGAACCCACCTTTTAAAAGCCCCCACTCCTGTGGATTCTTTCCAAGTGGAGAGAACCATTTTTACTGTTTTAGTGTCATGTGGGAACAATTAGAATGTCATTCATTCACTCCCTTTCCAAGGCACAGTGGTGTCAGCAGACGTCTTTTAGATGTCCTTGAGTCACGGGCAGAGGATTTTCTTCTAGCCAGCATGTTCAAACAGCTGTGGCTTATTTATTTCATTGCTCTCCCACCCCCATTTGTATCAGGGACACTGGTGGTCTCCAAAAGTTATAAACACTTACTGACGCTTGGCAGTTTTCTTCTACAGAAACGATCTCCATTGTTTTCTAAGTTGAAGCCAGATGATATTTCCTTTAAACAAAAACACCCAACATCCCTGGTCCTGACATGAATAAAATAATAAAAGTAGTTTTCCAGCCCTTTTTTGTTCACCAACTCCCTGACTGAAGCATCACTGCTTAGGAGTTTAAAAATTGGTTTTCTGTTTCTGTGTTGGACATAATTAGCTGCTTAAGAGACAAGTCTGCTACCCAAGTGCAATGTCCTTCAGCTGCTATTGGTTCACCTGCTTTGATGTAACAGTCTGCGGTGCATGGGCAGCATTGGCCTAGAAAGCACGTTGCACTGGGACAACTGGAAACCTTTGATTTTAGATTATTTATTCTCTGATCAACTTTGGTATATCGAAACCACAAAATTTAAGTAACAAGGCAAGCTTGGTTGTGTCAGATGTATGGTTTCAGACCTCTTTGCCAGAAAAGAACAGACTTCCTTAGCTGAGTCATACTCAAAAAAACTCCCCATGTATAAGTAATTTAAAATAGAGATTTACATATACTAAGTAGAAATAGTGTTGGGGAATAAAATACTTTGCACAAACACATAACATATTCTTTTCAGAGTTGATATGTAATAATTGACACTCCGTTAAAATTATGAATCCACATTTATTGATGATATGTACATAAAAAGTACAACACTTAGTGAAATATTGTCTTCGCTGATTATTTCCAGTATATAAAGAATGTCCAGTTTTGTTTTATACATAAGTTACAGAAATCAGTTCACACAGTAAGAAAGTATTAAAAGCAAATACTGTAGTTACTAAAGGAGGTATAGATGAAGATTAGGAGAATTAGAACTATAAACTACAAAAAAAAAAAAATACTCAGTAAATGAGGCATTCCCATTACAATATACAAGAAAGTAACCAGAGTTAATAGAAAGTTTTCGCATCTGCATTCATTAGTCTTTACACAAAATGTGGTACAGGAACTGTACAAGTACATCATTTCGATTCCCAGATGAACACTTCCAATCAATGTCAAAGACCAGGCTTATGGTTTCTTTTGGATGTATTCTAAATGGATCACATCACATTTCAAGGGAAGAACTGCAAATTGATGATATACACAATGGCCATGATCTCAAAGGCCCTGAGCGCAATAATTTCCCTAAACAGCACAGTCCTATACATATCTACTCGGAAGTAAGCTCCATTGAGTTTAATGTAACTTACCCCCACGAATGTGTATAGGATTTCGCCCATAGTTGCATATGAAAAAGAACACATGCACAGATCTTGAGATTTTGTGGCTTTCCCCTTTTGTTGTCTCACACACTTGCGGTCATCAGGCTCAGAGTGATTTGCCACTTCAGCAATTGCTAAAGGCAATTCACAATAGGTAAGCCGGAATCGAAAAAAGGAATAGTTATAGAGTACTTTTAAGGCAGATGACAACTAGCTTCCGTATGGGATATTTTATCCCATGCAATATGCCACAGTAAAGGTGCTACATTTATTGAGTGAAAGCAACAGTGAATCCTGCCAGCCTTTCCACTAGTAGCTCTTTTTCAGAGAGCTTCTTTATTATCAGAGACATTCAAATTCTTAATATATAAAAAGTATGATTACTGGTGCATGGAAATTTTGAGATACAACTGCACATAAACACAACAGGTAAAGCACACCTCAAAAACACAGTTGTTTGTCTGTTTCCAAAACTGACATGAATGGGATTTGTTATAATTTTTCATATGCTTACTTTTGAAAAATGGAAGCAGTATTTGCCTCTGTGCTTCTGGCTAGCTGGTGTAACACAAATCTTAAGAATGATAATGATAGGCTTGCATCCAGCATTAGATGAACCCAGAGTAGATCCATTGAAATTAATGGATTTGGCCAATTTGGGTCCATTAATTTCAGTGTGTCTATTCTGAGTAAACTTAGCTGGAAACAGTCCAGTGTCTATAGTTAACAGGCATGTCTGTGCCTTGATTTAAAGCAAAATGACAGGCTCAGGTTATGCAGATTCTTCAGTGGATACTGTTGTCAGTGAACAAGTGAAAGCAAATGAACATCAGAGGAATCTTGAAATGTTGTTGGATGACAGCAGGAGTCCATGTTGCAAAGCAGAAACAGACATTGCAATTGCAAACAATAAGCATGGCATCCAAAGTAAAGAGTACAGCAAGGTTTGTTTTTACTTCTGACCAATGAGCTAACTGATGCAGCGACTTACTAATAATCATGTCTCTACATTTCCAACATATCAGGTATACAGACGAAAATATATTAATATTATAAACTCAGAATAATATGCCTACATTAATTCTTTAATGTAGCAGTGATATTGCATTCACAGTGCAGCAAAATGAGACGGCCAGTCACATTCACTAAGTGCCAGGGATTTACAAACATACACACACACTCGCATGCTGCTGGTTAGATATATAAAAACAAAGACTAACATATGTACAATGAGTCGGCTGCAATAAAAGGTTCCAACAATTATTCAGACTTTGACATGCACCAACATGTTTATATTATCAACATATAAAACCAGTTATCTGCCTATGGAGATTATTCTGATAAATACCTGGGGATGGAAATACTGACAAGCAGCCAACCCAACCCAAATTCTTTTCGGA